TGGCTGCTGCTGCTGCATTTGCTGCACTTGCTGCATCGGCTGCATTGGCTGCAACGGCTGCATCTGCTGCATCTGCTGCTGGTAGGCTTGGCCGTTGTGTGGCAGGAAGGCAGATGGCCCTCCCTGAAAGCCAAACATCGGCTGCTGTGACGCCTGCTGCTGTGCCATGCCCTGTTGCTGTGCCATGCCTTGTTGCGACATCCCTTGTTGTTGCGACATCCCTTGCTGTTGCGACATCCCTTGTTGGACCAAGCCCGGTTGAAACATCCCTTGCTGTTGCCCCACGCCTTGTTGCCCCACGCCTTGTTGCGCCATGCCTTGTTGCGCCATGCCTTGTTGCGCCATGGCTTGTTGCGCCATGCCTTGTTGCGCCATGGATTGTTGCGCCATGGCTTGTTGCAGCATGCCTTGTTGCGCCATGCCCTGTTGTGCCATACCCGGTTGCATCATGGCGTTATGCACCATGTGCGGTTGGGACAATCCGTGCTGCCCTGTGCCCTGTCCCTGCACCAGTGCCTGCAGCTGCGCTACCATCTGAGGCGGACCCATGCTGTGCTGCTGCATGCTACCTGATGGATGACCCATGCCCTGCTGCGCCATGCCCTGCTGCTGCGCCATGCCCTGCTGCTGCGCCGTGCTCGACTGCGGCATGCCTTGCTGCGGCATCCCTGCCACTCCATTCATTACTGGAACGGGGGCAGATGCCTGAGAGCCCTGGACTGCGAACTGCACTGCCTGCTGCTGCTGCTGCTGCTGCATCTGCTGCATCTGCTGCATCTGTGGCTGCTGCTGCTGCTGGATCTGCAGCTGTTGCTGAGGCTGCATGATCTGTTGCTGTGGTTGCATCGTCTGCTGCTGCGGTTGCATTGGTGGTTGTTGGCCAGGTATTGACAGTTGCTGCGGAGCCATCAGCTGCTGAGCTGGCAGTTGATGTTGTGCTGACATCAGCTGCTGCTGCTGCTGCTGCGGCAACGGCGCTTGTGGCGGCTGATGCACTTGATGCTGCCCCTGATGTTGTTGCTGCTGCTGCTGCTGTTGCTGTTGCTGCAGATGCTGCTGCTGGTACGCAGGTTGACCATACTGCTGCTGCTGCTGCGGTTGTGCTGGCTGCTGCGCCTGATGTTGGACGGATGGTGGGAGAAATTGCTGCTGAGTCGGCTGCTGCTGCTGCTGTTGCTGCTGTTGCTGCTGTTGCTGCTGTTGCTGCTGTTGCTGCTGTTGCTGGGATAGCTGCAGTGATTGCTGATTCTGTGGTTGCTGGTAGTAAGGCTGCTGAGGGGGATGTTGCTGCTGAGGTTGCTGTTGCTGCATGGCGGTCTGGGCGGAAAATGGCTGCTGGTGCTGGGACGGTTGCGCCGGCTGCGTCTGCATTTGCTGAGTCTGCCCTTGGGGCGTCATCTGCTGCTGTTGCGCCTGCCCCTGCGCCTGGGGCTGTTGGTGCTGCTGCGCGGGTAGCTGAGCTTGCTGCTGCAGCTGTCCCTGGTGGCCTTGAACCACATTCAGCTGAGGCTGCTGCTGCTGCTGTTGCTGTGCTTTTTGCAGCTGTGGTTGCTGCTGCTGCTGCGGGGAGTAGCCAAGAGGGGATTGTTGCTGCGGCTGATGCTGGTGCTGCCGCGGAACGTGAGCCGGGGAGAAAGGCGACTGCGGCCGGTCAGGCTGCTGCTGCTGCTGAGATTGCTGCAGCTGTGAACTCGACTGCTGCTTCTGCTGCTGTGGTTGCTGCTGCTGCTGCGCCGTCTGCTGCTGCAGCAGTTGCTGGTACGCTTTCTCCGGCACTCTGGCATCCTCCAGCCGCGCCATCGCTCGGACCGGGAGCGACTGCGAGGGCGGACGGTGCAGCGCAGGCATCGCAGTCATCGTCCCCTGAATCTTCCTGTCCGCGCTGTTAGCAGCACCGCGAAACCCTATAGCCTTGGAATCTTGTCGTTCTCGATCTTCAGAATTCGTCTCCTCTGGTGTAGGTTTCGACTGCCGCTGCTCTACAAGATCGGTCGAATTCGGCTGGGTGTTTGACGACTGCAGCATTAGCGACGGACTCGGGCCACCATGAAGCGAGCCATTCGCCTGTGCGCGATCCTCTCCCTCCGCCTTCGGATTTCCCAGGAGATTCGGCCCATTGTGAATATTCGTGGGTAAACTCTTGTCTCGCTGGCCCTGAGGGTCGGTTCGAGAAGCCTCGCTTGTATCAAGGTGGTTGCGCGTTTCAGTGCCTGGACTCCGTTGCTGCGTATCGAGTTGCCGCGTATCGAGTTGCCGCGTATCGAGTTGCTGCGTATCGATTTGCCGCGTATCGAGTTGCGGCGTATCGAGTTGCTGCGTATCGAGGTGCCGAGTATCGGGTCCCCCTAAAGCCTGCGAGGGTGCAGGCTGGTTCTGGACCATATGGAGCCTCGCTTGATTGGTCAGGTTTGCTATTGGCGGACCAAGTGTATTCGCCGCGGTCTCGCCAGTATGCTTCCCTTTCCTAAGATCAGCTGTTGAACAGCGATCACTGTTCAGGTTACCGTACGCGATATAGGTATTCTCGTCGGCACTGGTTACGTGTCGACTTCCTAAACGGTCAGTGTGACTACCGGGTAAGATAGTTGGTCGGAATCCTTGGTCAGATTCTGCACTAGCGGGGAAACCTAGAGAATACCGACGGACTCCCTGAGCAGACGAGCGATGCGGCGAGGACATGCGAGATTCAGAATGAATCCTGGTCGTTGCAGCCTGTGAGGCCAGCGACATCAGGAAACGGAAACGCAAGCCTACGCAGATCGAACAAATGACTTTGGGGCATGGCTCAGATCAATAATCAACAGCACGCCGGGAAAGTCAATAACCTGGCAGTGTATTTGGTGATCAGGCTAGCTAAGCCCCCGCTGGAGCGATCTAACAAGTCAGAGAGAGATGAGGCGAATATCCAAGATCAGGAAACCTAGTACAGACAAGAGGAGCAGGACGAGTTCACCGCTGTAACTCCTGTGGTTCCTCGGCCTAAGGAAATAGCCAGGGTATTTTTCTAGGAGGAAGCGGCGGGAAAACCAGATCGGAGAGTGATGTCAAGGGAGGGAAAGATCGGACGGTTGAGAGAGCAGGCTGGTAAATAAATGAAACTGTTCCAGGACGCATGCAAGAGGGAGAAGGCTCCTTGGGTTTCCCGGATGTCGAGCCTGTGTGACAGGCTAGGTACAGAGCCTGGCTGCTTCGTTTGCCAGCAGTCGAAGCTGTGACAGAGCAAGATTTGGGTTTCGCTGCAATTTGAGCGCCAAGGTTGCACCGAGGGTTTTGAATCGACGAAGCTGTTCGGTTAGGCTTGGCCCCCGAAAGTCAGAGATTCTTCTGACAATCGGGAGGTTGCGGTCAATCAGCAAACGCAACGTGGCACACACTCGCAGGAAGTGCTTCGTGCTTTCGCAAATAACGTAATTGCGTAACCTGTTACACTCCAACTCAATAAGGGCGCGGTGCTTTTGGCGGAAAATGCAAAAAATCGAACATTCACCGCGTTGTACCGCAGATAAAGCTTCTAAAACACACAAAATCGTGTACAACCCCTCTACATGTTCGAACTCCCGACTTTTTCCGAACCCAAAGTATCGCGCCCCAACGCTCCCTCACAATTATGCGAATTTCAAGCAGCAACCTCATTCGAGAGGAGTCGAACTCCCGACCTTTGACCATCAGCCAGGAAAATCGACCCACTCGGACATCTTGGAAATTCCAACGCGGTTTCGGAAAATAAGCCCCCCCCTGCCCCCGGCAGCATGTGCGCCTCGCTCCGCCTGTATAAAGCCGCGAACGAGCATTGGAGTTAGCGTTGCATGTTCAGGCATTCAGGCTGCTCAGTTCTAGGCGGCCAGACAGTTCCTAATCAGGTATCTAGGAACCCCGTGCAACGCGGAAGTGTAGATAAGTAGTATGCATATGCTAATCATAACATGAACCAGATACTGCATGTGCCCTTAGTCCTTGAGATGACGTGATGCTTACGATTTTTGTTTGACCATCAGGTCTGGGATAAGTCTGTTTTTCTGACCTATTCGACGAGACTATTGGTCTACGCGGCGTAATCTGCTGCTGTGTGAAGGTAGCACTTATCGATCGTGATCGTTTCGCGTTAGTGTCGTCCAGTAGTTGTAGCGCTCGTCGAACGGTTCAGTAAAACACCGCCGCGAGTGATTTTTGAGTCGACTCAAAAATCTCCTTACCAGCCTCGTCGCGAGCCCACCACCTTAAAACTTCGTTCTGATGGATTACTCCAGCCATGATACGGGCTACGAGGGTCACGAAGACGACGAGCATGTGAATGACGAAGAGGAGGAGGAGGAGGACTACGAGGAGGAGGAAGAAGAAGGGAGGGGTGTGCCGAACATGCTGGCGTTCATGCTGGGGAATGTCAACGACGAGGGGTCGCTGGAGGAGGAGTACATGGATGAGGTGGGTGGGTCGATAGTATTCTTATATGAATAACGAGTCCGCTTTAAATGCTGGGGAAAGTGGACGAGGGGTCGCTGGAGGAGGAGTACATGGATGAGGTGGGTGGGTCGATAGTATTCTTATATGAATAAAGAGTCCGCTTTAAATGCTGGGGAACATGACGAGGGGTCGCTGGAGGAGGAGTACATGGGCGAGGTGAGCCGATAGTATTATATATGTATTTAGAGTCGGCTTACATTACACATGCTGCCGTTCCTGCTGGGTAATGTGAACGACGAGGGGTCGCTGGAGGAAGTATCCTGATGAAGTGGGTTGTTTTCATAACTCCAGCTACCGACATTCAGATGTTACTTCCCATGCTGCTATCTGCCAAGATTGCTATAAGAATCCTATGAGTGTGTCAACTTGTAGTCCGTAAGTTAGACTTTTGCGTGCTGGCAGGAAGCAGGTGCTGGTTTTCGAGATAGCTCTTCTTCAAACAAATCATTTCGTTTGTTGCACACTTCCAAGTTTTTTTACCAGTTCGTCCTGGTTCCGTTGTTGCGTGTCTCTGTGGATCTTACCCTCTCGGGGTGGATTGCAGCATAAGTATCTCAAGTTCCTCGTATTTCCGTGCCTGGCTGTGTGTGTGAGCAGCTTTTGAGTCGACTGAAAAACTCTCTTATCCTCCCGGGGTGGATTGCAGCATAAATGTTCCATGTTCCTCGTATTTCTGTGCTTGGTTGTGTGTGTGAGCAGGAGGCCAGGGATCACCTGGCCGGGTTAGCAGACCAGCTGGGCCCAGCTTTGGCTGATATGGAGGTAGGTACTGATGGGATCAGGAAATGGTGGTTCAGTGATTGCGTTCCAGTGAAAAGATTGTGAAATCTAGATTGTTCATGCACAACCAGCCAGCTACGTGCATGCCGGCCTGCCTGCCCTGATGCCTGACTGCCGTTTTCTTGTGTTCCGATTTTTCCCCTGGCAGTTTGAGTCGCGGTCAGCAGCCGGGCAAGCAGAGGATGACGACGAAGGTGAGGCCACTAGTGGACGAGCCTGGAATAATAGGTGATTTCCTCCAGTCGGCTCGACAGTCAGTCTGAGTCTTGGTCAGCAGTTGGGCAAGCAGAGGCTGACAACAAAGGTGGTGCGGCCACTAGCGGGTGAGGCTGGAGTCTGGACAGGGGAGGCGTTTGCATGCCAGGGGTTTGGGTGCGAGGGGGAAGATTGAACGTGCAGACTACAGCCACAAGGCAGGGTATGCTTAGTAGTCAGGACTAGAACGATCATCTGGTGCGCTGTGTCATATGCTCACGTGTTCGCATCCCCTTGGCCCCCTATCCCCTTGTCCCCGTGGTCCCTTGTCCGCTTGTCCCCTTGACCCCTGGTCCGTTCTGAGCAGACTACGACCGCAAGGCAGAGGACGCGCAGGACTATGAGGACATCGACAGGGCGTTCGAAGGAGAGGATGCTGGCACTGGCAGCAGTGTCTAATGCGCCCGTGTCCCATGTCCCATGGTCCCCGGGTCCGTATTGAACAGACTATGATTGCAAGGCGGATGACGCGCAGGACGTGAGAACGTAGACGAGGCTCATGAGACTTGTCTAATGCGCCCCCTGGCTCTTGTGGCACTGTCTAATGTGCCCATTTCCCGTGTCCCCTGGTCCCCTGATCCGTTCTGAGCAGACTATGACCGCAAGGCGGACGACGCACAGGACTATGAGGACATCGACGAGGCGTTCGAGGAGGACGATGCTGGTGTGGCTGGCACTGCTGCTGCTGGTGGTGGGGGTGGGGGTGCTGCTGTTGGCGGCGCTGGTGGTGCTGGGTTTGAGTATGCTGGGCTGGAAGGGGTTGGTGCGGGTGATGCAGGGGATGAGGAGGACTATGACCTGGAAGAGGAGGAGGAGGAGGAGGAGGAGGAGGAGGAGGAGGAGAGGGAGGGGGAGGGGGAAGCTGAAGGGGAGGAGGAGATGGGGGATGAAGTTGAGCTGGACGAGGAGGTGGAGGAAAAGGCAGGGAGTGAGAGTGACGGGAAAGCGGAGGTCACAGGAGGAGAGGCAGCGGAAGGGGATGCATTGGAGTTTGGTGATGGAAACATGGGTGCAGCTGGTGGGGGAGAGGCAGTGGAAGAGAGGGGTGAAGAGCAGGAGGAGGAAGAGGAGGAAGAAGACGAGGAGGAAGGAGGAGAGGAGGAAGGAGGAGAGGAAGAACGAGGAGAGGAGGAAGATTATGAGGAGGAGGGGGAGGAGGAGAAGCAGGAGGAGGTGGCAGGGTTGGAGCCTGAGCCTGAGGTTGGGGCTGTGGGAAAGAATAAGATTGGAACAGAAGAGGAAGCTGAGGATGAGGAAGAGGAGGAGGAGGAGGAGGAAGAGGAGGAGGTGGATGAGGGGGATGAAGAGAAGGGCGAGGACCAGGGGGAGGAGGCAGGGGTTGATGAAAGTGAGGATCAAGAGGCTGGAGTAGAGGGGTTTGGAGGGGGGGAGCAACGCGAGCAGCAGCAGCAGCAGCTCGAGAGGGAAGGAGGGGAGGAAGAGGAGGAGGATGAGGATGAGGAGCTGGATGGGCTTTTAGACGAGCTCGAGGAGGCTGGGCAGGCAGATAGAGCAGAGGAAGAGCGAATGGGAGAGGAGGAAGGGGGAGGGGAGGAGGTAGGAGAAGAGGATGGAGGAGAGGGGCGGGGAGAAGGAGAGGAGGGAAGCGAGGAGGAGGATTCATTGTCCTTTGAAGAGGATGAGGGAGAGGAGGAAGGGGGGGAGGGGGGCGGGGAGGAGAGTGGGGAGGAGGCAGGGGGCGATGGCAGGGAGGGGACTCAGGAGGGAGCAGAGGAGGAAGAGGATGAGGATGAAGAGGACGAGGAGGATCTATTTGCGTCTGAAGGCCATGAGCTGGATGATACTTCCTCATGTGCGTCATGTGGGGCTAAAATGTTCTAGGGGTGATGTGCTGGTATTCAAGTCAGAAGTGATCCCTTTTTGCCTCTTGAGAGTTTTTTTTTTCACTTGGCCCAATAGTCACCCCGGCTCATGCTGGCATGCCATAGGGGGAGCATGTCAGCATACAATGCCAAGAGGGGTGTGCTTAGAATAGGTGGTTGTGTGATTTTTCTGCAGAATTCTTGGGCATTTCTGTCCGTCTTGGGCTGATTGTTCCTGTGTGTTGTCGTGATTGCCCTTCTGCATTGATCTGTTTGTTGCTGCGTTCCCTTTGCCCTCCCTTTGCTCCGTGTCTGCAGTGCCAGCCACCCCTGGTGACAAGGGGATTGGGGAGGAAGAGGAGGAAGATGAGGAGGAAGCGGAGGGTGCAGAGGAGGATGAGGATGAAGAAGAGGAGGAGGAGAAGGGGGAAGAAGAAGGGGAGGAGGAGGAAGCAGAGGACGAGGATGAGGAAGCCGGGGGAGGAGAGGAGGACGGAAGGGAGGAGGAAATAGGGTTGGGGGAGGGGTTAGAGGAGCATGAGGAGGATGAAGAGGAGGAGGGGGGGAAGGGGGATGGAGAGGAAGAGCACGAGGAGGAGGATGAACAAGAGGGGGAGGAAGAGGAAGAACAAGAGGGGGAGGAAGAGGAGGAGGATAATGAAGCAGAAGAAGGCAGAGAAAACGACATAGGGAGAGAGAAGGGGGAGGATGAGGAAGACGTTGGGCAGGGGGAGGAGGAGGATGACGAAGAGGAGGCAGAGGAGGAGGGAGGGGAGGAGGAGGATGGACAAGGGGAGGTCGAGGGTGCGGGAGAGGGAGAGGGAGAGGGTGAGGGAGAGGAGTATGGGAGGGAGGGAGAGGATGCGGAGGAGGGGGCAGATGGGCAGGAGGAGGAGCAAGAGAATGGGCAGGAGGGCGATCTGGAGGCGGATTTAGAAGCAGCGCTGGAAGAGGCCATGGGCGAGGGGGAGACAGGAGAGGAGGGGGAGGAGGCTGTGGGCGGGGAAGGAGATGGGGGAGGAGGCATGCGAGACGAGATGGAGGAGGAGGATGAGGCGGGAGCTGAAGGCGGTGGTACTGCAGGTGGTGCGGCAATCCAGGCAAATGCAGTAGCGGGAGAGAGGGGAGCCGGAGAGAAGGGCGAGGGGGCTGACGAGGGGATTCAGGAAGGGGAAGCGGAGGGAGTGAGGGGCGAGGAGGAGATGAGAGAGCAAGAGAATGATGATGCTGCCGCTGGTGGTGGGGAAGGGGAAGGGGAAGGCGTGGACGGGGAAGAGGGTGGAGTGAAGGGTGCGGGGCTGGTGGGAAGAAGCGCTGTAGGCGGTGACACTGAGGGTATGGATTGGACAGGACAGGGGGAGGAGGAGAGGTTGGAAGATATTGAGAAGGAAGAGGGGCCTGGGGAGGATGGGGAGGTGGAGGTAGAGGAGGAAAGGAAGGGGCGGAGCGAGTTGGAGAGGCAGAGGAACGAGTTACCAGTGTTGTTCAAGGAAGGTGGCAAGGACGTGCTGCGCTTCTCAGACATCTTCGGCATCAAGGGCTCCTTCTGGTCGCTCGTCGTGCAGCGGGGGTCACGGCCTAAGCGCCACCGCCTGCTGCCTCGTTCTGCTGCTGGCAATTGTAAGTCATGCTTTTGCCTTGAAGAAGTCTGAAGGTCGAACCCCATCGTGCCTTTTGGAGCAAGGACGTGCTGCGCTTCTCAGACATCTTCGGCATCAAGGGCTCCTTCTGGTCCCTCGTCGTGCACAGGGGGACCAGGCCCAGGCCAAGCGCCACCGACTGCTGCCTCGTGCCTCCACTGGCTACTGTGAGTCTTGCCTTTGAGAATGATAAATGGCGACCCCCATCACATCTTCGGCATCAAGGGCTGCTTCTGCTCCCTTGTCATGCATTGGGGATCACGCCCCAAGCGCCACCACTGCCAGCTCGCGTGTCTGCTGGCAACTGTAAGTCGTGGTTTTGGAAAGTGTAAAAGACAAATTCCATACTATCTTTGGTTGGCACCAAGGGCTCCTTGGTTGAAACTGACCTTGGATTTTTTCTTCCCCTGTATTTGAATGCGTGTGTTCTGATCCATTCGGTTTTCTTTTGGCAGATCCAGTGCAAGAGGATGACGAGGTGCTTTTGCGATCTGCACCGTCGCCCAAACGAGCGGCTGAGATCATGCGAGAGCGGGCGATTGCTCTCGAGAGAGAGCTACAGTACCAAGAGATTCTGGAGAGGGAAGAAGCAGAGGAGGAGGAAGAAGAGGGGGAGGAGGAAGAGGAGATTGAGGATGAGTGGGAAGAAGTGGAAACAGAGGAGGAAGAAGAGGAAGAGGATGAGGAGGGCGAGGAGGGAAATGAGGAGGGAAGGTTCAGGGAAGGAGAGGAGACAGGAGGTGAGAGGCAAGAGGAGGTGAAACAAGCACCGGGGGTGGGAAACGAGGAGGAGGAACGGGCCATGGATCCAGCAGAGGCAGAGGGCGGGCAGCAAGTGGAGCAGGGTGGAGAGCTGGGCAAGGAGGGATTGGATGGGAAGGCACAAGGGTTGAAGAACGGAGGAGGGGTGGACGATGCTGAGATGGCAACGGACGAGGAAGGGACACAAGAGGAGGAGGGGAAAATGGGCGGAGAGGAGGACGAAGGGGAGATGAAAGCAATGAAGCTGGAGGATGGGCAGGAAGAGGAGCAGGCTGGAAATGCGGTCGAGGGGGGCTTGGATGAGGGAGATCGAGGCTCGACAGATGAAGAGCAAGGCTTGAAGGAGCAAGGCATTAGGGGGGATGCTGAGGGGTCAGTGCACAAGGTGGGAGAAGGGCATGAGGAAAGGACGGAGGGTGGAGGGGGAAACGCAGGACGTCTTCTATCTCCGTCATTGGACAGTGGTGCAGTGATGGTAGCGGTGTGTGTTGAGGTGCCTCAAACCGCCCCGTCTGGTCTTGGTACAGTGGCCGCAATGGTTGTGGGAGCCGGCAAGGGCCTGGATGGTGCAGGAGGAGGAGGTGAGAGGAGTTTGCAGATGGGTTCCCGGCAGCAGATGGCGAATGGGCAGGAGAGGCTGGGTGGCGAAGCGGAGGAGAGAGATGGGCGGTGTGGCATGGTGGAAGGCAAGGAAGGGGGCCGGACGGATGGCGGGGCAGCGGGTGAGATTAGGAGCAGCGGAGGGCGCGAGGAAGGGAGTGAGCGAGGGACGGAGGTAAGGAGTGAGAGAAAGAGTGAGGGAGGGAGTGAGGGAGGGAGTGCGGAAGGGAGTCAGGGAAGGAGTGAGGGAGGGCGTGAGGGAGAGAACGGGGGGACGGCTAAGGAAGGAAGGGAGGGACTGGTGGAGGAGTCAAAGAAGCAGGCTGGTCCAGGTATAGAGGAAAAGGGTGCGGTGGAGAGAGAAGGCACGGAGGAAGAGGAGGTGAAAGGAGGGGAAGGAGAGGGTGCAGGAGGGGAGAGTGCTGGAGGAGAAGTAGGAGGGGATGCAGAAGCGGCAGAGAGGCAGCACTTGGTTTCCGAGGCTAACCAGCCGCAGGAAATGGACGTTGAGCGAGGGAAGGTGGGGGCTGGGCTGGGTGACGGAGAGGCACGGGAGGCGGTGACGGCTGGAGAGGGGCACTTGGCTTGCGAGGCTACCAACCCGCAGGAGATGGAAGTTGAGCGGCGGAGAGTGGGGACTGGGCAGGGTGACATGGGGGCGGGGGAGGCGGTGAGGGCTGGAGAGCGGGATATGGGGTGCGAGGCCATCAAGCCGCAGGAGATGGGAGATGAGCGAGGGAAGGTGGGGGATGGGCACGGTGAGACGGGGGCGCGAGAGGAGGTGGGCGCTGGAGAGCAGGATATGGTGGCTGGACAGGGGAAGGAGATGGAGGGTGAGAAGGCGGAGGGTGAGAAGGCAGAGGGTGAGAAGGCGGAGGGTGAGAAGGCGGAGGGTGAGAAGGCGGAGGGTGAGAAGGCGGAGGGTGAGAAGGCGGAGGGTGAGAAGGCGGAGGGTGAGAAGGCGGAGGGTGAGACGGCAGAGGGTGAGACGGGAGCTGTCTGTGAGCCCCCTCAAGAACAGGGGCTGGCAGCAGAGGACGGCGAGGGATCACATGCTGCAGCAGAGGAAGCTGTTTCTAAGGCGCCTCAAAACCAATCCGAGGGGATGGGAGTGGAGGAAGGAGAGGGGCCACATGGTGCAGAGGGGTCACATGGCGCAGAGGGGTCACATGGCGGAGAGGGGTCACGTGATGGAGCGGAATTACATGGGGGTGCACATGGGGGTGCACATGGGGATGCACATGGGGATGCTTTTGCACTTGTAAATGCACCTGGGGATGCGCCTGTTCTGGGGAGAGTGGAGCAGGGCGAAAACGGGGAGGCAAGGGAGGATGCAAGTCAGGTTCTTGGGGAGGATGAAGGTGAAGAAAGGAGGGATGGGGAAGGGTGGGGTGATGGGGGGAAGGATGAGGAGGGGGTTGCGGAGCAGATAGATGGGGAGGAGGGTGCAGAGGGGGAGGCTGTGGGAGGGGAGAAAAGGGTGGAAGGAAAAGAAGGCGAGAAAAGCGAGGGGATTGTTGCCGATGGGAGCGATGAGAAATGTCTAGGGTTGGGAATGAACATGAAGGAAGGAAAGGGGGGCGGGACTGATGCTGGTGGTGATGCCGAGGCGGGTGGTTTGGTGACGATGGAAGTGGAGGGTCGGGAGGAGCGGGGGAAGGCGAAGGAGGGAGTGGTGGGTGAGGGGGCAGGGGGAGAGGTAGGGGAGGCGAAAGAGCTGAAAAAGGAGGCAGGGGAGGGAGAGGAGAGAGGGGAGGAAGGGGATAATGCAGGAACGGTGGGAGGCGCGGAGGGAGACGAGGAGAAGGTAGGGAGAGGGATGGACGCACGAGGTGGAAGGGATGGGGAGCAGGAGGAGGCGGTGCCCGTGGCACGCAGTGATAAGCAGGACGATAGCGGTGATAGGGAGGATAATGATAGAGGGGATGATTGTAGAGGGGATGAGAGCAAGGAGGGTGGTGAGCAGGGCGTTAGAAGTGAAAGCGAAGGGGCGTGTGGAAGTGGGGAAGGGGGGGCGGGGTCGGAAGGTGCGTTGGGGGTTGATGCAGGAACGAGTGGGCTGGGACAGCGTGACAGGGGGCAGGAAAGAGTGAGCGAGAGAGATACCGATGAGGAGATGGATGGCGGTGGAGGGGAGGGAGGGGAGAGCCGAGACGAAGTGAGTAAGTGGGAGGAAAAGGAGGAGGAGGAGGAGGAGGGGGTGGGGGAGGATGGAGTGGAGGCGGGAACAGTGGGTGAAGGAAAGGAAGAGATGGGAGGGAAGGGGGAAGAGAAGAAGGCAGATAAGGATGAGAAGGGAGTGGAGAAGGGAGAGGAGGAGGGAGAGGAGGAAGAGAAGGGAGAGGAGAGGGATGCGAATAGGGGAGCAGAAAAGGGGGAGGAAGGAGAGGGTGGTAATAGGATGGAAGTGGACGAACAACCTGAGGGAGCAAAAGAGGGTGGAGAGAAGGGGGAGACAGCGAAAGAAGAGGAGGGGAGGAAAGAGGAGGGGAAACAAGAGGGAGAGGAGGATGAGGGGAAGAAAGGAGAGCGAGATTTTGAGCGGAAGGGAGAGAAGGAGCATGTGGATCCCAGTGAGGGGAAAGGGGTAGACGAAAGGGAGAGGACAGGGATGGATGGAAGTGGTACAGTGGAGGCTGGGATCAGAGAAAAGGCGAGTGAGGCTGGAAAGAAGTCTGAGGGCGGAGAACAGGAGGGGGTTGGAGCAGAGAGCGAAGCAGAGGGAGAGAAGGGGGTCCCTTCTGAAGGCGAGGCAGTGAAAGAAGCATGTGCAACCCCCGTCCCTCCCTCTGAAACCAATGCAGTGAATGCAGTTGAGGAGGTTCACGCAGCAAGTGAAGTCAACGCAGCAGGACTAGCCCGTGGGGAAGCAGTGAAGGGGGCGGGTATGGGAGAGGAAAGGGAAGGAGTGGGGGTGAAGTGTCCGGGTCACGAGGTGCAGGAAAGCTTGACAGATGTGCAGGAGGGGCGCTTAGAGGCGTCTCCGAAGAAAGGAGAGGAGGCGAAGGGGCTGGAGGAAAAGGGAGAGGAGGAAAAGGGAGAGGAGGGAAAGGGAGAGGAGGGAAAGGGAGAGGAGGGAAAGGGAGAGGAGGATGAGGGGGATGAAGCGAGAACGATGGATGAAGGGGCAGTGAGGGATGGAGAGAAGGGAACTAGTGGAGGGATGGAAATGCGGACAGAGAAAGGCAAGTCGTGCGGCTCTCTTGATGCTGATGAGGAGGGTAGGGCTGAGGAGGGTAGGGCTGAGGAGGGTAGGGCTGAGGAGGGTAGGGCTGAGGAGGGTAGGGCTGAGGAGGGTAGGACTGAGGAGGGTAGGGCTGAGGAGGGTAGGACTGGGGAGCGTATCGTTGAGGAGCATAGGGCTGAAGGTGGTAGTGGCGGGGAGAATAGCGGTGGGGGTGCTGTTGCGGGTGAAAGAACTGCAGCAGGAATGGAGATGGCGAATGGAGGCCTGAAGACACTTAACCAGAGCGACAAAACGAAGCTCAAGAAGAAACACAAGGTGCTTAAAAGGAAGACACTTAAAACGAGGATGAAGAGAAGACCAAGGGAAGCGGAGAGGCAGTGTTTTGACGGGTTTTCTCTAGCGCAGGGCCCCGAGGGGGATGCTCTGCTGCGGTCGTTGGATGGGGTGTTTGATCGCACGCCCAGTGCGCTCTTCTCCGCCCTCATGCAGAGCGACTGGGAGGACCGCATTGTGTGGGGCAGCCCTGATCGGCCAGAGAGTGAGGGTGAGGGAGGGAGGAGAGGTGGAGTGAGAGAGGAGGGTGAGGAGGAGAGGGAGGGGGAGGAGGAGGAGGAAGAGGGGGTGAAGTGGAAGGAACGGGAGACGAGGGGAGGAGAGAGGAAGAGGAAAGAGGCAGGAGGTGTGGGGGAGGAGAGGGGGCAGGGAGGTGGTGAGAGGGAAGAAGGAGGTGTGAAGGAGGAGAGGGGTAGTGGTGGCAAGCACGTGGCAGTGGATGGAGTGAAGAGCGGAGGCCAGGATGAGGGGTCTATCGAGAGGCATGAAGGGGCCACAGAGAAGCTTGACCTTTCTGGGGAAGAGCAATCAGAAGAGGAGCCAGAGTGGGAGGACGGAGGCGACGGGGGCAACGGGAAGCAGGGTGGTGGGGCAGTGGGAGCACTAAAGCAGTCGCAGCAGCCACCAGCAGTGCTAGTCGGTCAGTACGGGGATGTACAGGTGTATGACGATGGGATGGTGCTGGAGCCTCTAGGGGCTGCCTGGCCCAAGCCCAGGGCGTTTCGAGGCTGGGAGGAGGACGGGGAGGCTCGGGAGATCCACCCTCTGCTGCTCCGGCTCGAGTGCCAGGCTCGGGTTGAAGCTGGGGCGAAGGCTCGGGGGAGAAAGAAGGGCGGAGGGGAGGAGGAAGGTGGGGTGGGAAGGGGAGAGGGGTTGGGTGGGGGTGAAGGAGGGGAGGGGAAACAGGGAGGGGTTGGGCGTGCTGATGGTGGGGATGGTGGTAAAGGTGCTGATGGTGGGGATGGTGGTAAAGGTGCTGATGGTGATGGTGCTGGTGGTGGTGCTGGTGCTGGTGCTGGTGCTGATGGGCTGGGACGGGGGCTGTTGGACCGGGCTGCGCATTGTGCTGCTGATGATGCACGTGAGCACGAGCAGGACCATGAGGGGGAGGAGGAAGATGAGGAGGACGAGGAGGAGGGAGAGGAGGAGGATCCGGGCAGGGCAGCGGTGCGGAGGCGAGTGCGGGAGGTGCTGCTGACGGCTGCCGTGCCCAGGAATGCAGAGCTGGAGTCCGGGGCCTGGATGGATAATGTCCTGTGGGGGGACGAGGACGAGGAGGAAGGGGAGGAGGGGGAGAGGGGGAAAGGGAAGGCTGGCAGGGAGGAGGAGAAGGAGGGGAGTGTGACGGGTATGGGAGGGGTTGGAGGGAGGGAAGCTGAGGCTGAAGGGGGGCTGGTTGCCACCTCAGATGCACCAGTTAGGTTGACGTTCTCCCAGGTGTTTCCGCGCGCTCCAAGGCGCAAGAACATACTCAAAACGGAACCTGCATTGCCAGTTTCCGTGGCTCCTCTCTCTGCATCCACCCACCCTTCTGGCCTCCCCGTTCGCCCGTCCCGCCCGTCTCGCCCGTCCCGGCCGCGCATAATCTTTGACCTGAGCGACCGGCGCATGACCTTCCAGCTCGTGGGGGATGGGGGGGGGAGCGCAGGCATGGGAGCCGCAGCAGCTTTGGGGGGTGTGATTGCGCCTGGTGTGGGTGCAGCTGGGGTAGGACTAGCTGAAGAGAGTGGAAGGGAGGAGGTTGTAGGACGAGCAGGCACTGGTGGGGCGGCGCTGGCAGCAGCAGGGGGGGCTATCCCCCTGATTGACCATGCCTTGGCCATGATTGTGCCAGCTCAGCCTGGCCGCTTACCACATCAGCAGCAGCAGATGCTGATGCTCCCAACATCAGGCCCGACAGCTAATACTGACACAGCCACAGCAGCAGCAGCAGGATCTAGTATTTCCGAGCCCAACAGCCATCCCCTGTCAAGCCCCCGCCTCCTCAATCCCCCTTCAGCTAACCTCCCATCGGCGCATCTCCCGCTCCCCGGGGACGCAGCAGCGGGGTGGTTGCCCCCTGAGTTCTTGGCTGAGGCAGCAGCGTGGGCGGTGGATTTCTCCCGGGACCACCTGTACCGGAGCAGCAAGGCAGGTGTGGGCGCTGTGGGCGGGGGAGCGGGCACGGGTAAGGCGCATGGGAAGAAGCGCGCGAGTACTAGTGTGAAGATTTACCACTCGCTGCCGGCGATTCGACTGCAAACGATGAAACCGCGACTGAGCAAGTAAGTGGGGGTGTGGGTGGGGAAGTGAGTGGGTATCTAGCAAGGTGGGTGAAGGCAAGGCGCACGGGAAGAAGCGCGAGAGCACCTGCGTGAAGATCTACCATTCGCTGCCGGGGATCCGGCTGCATCAAGTGGTTGTCAACCGTCTGTCAGTCCGTTCACTTCTCCTTCCACCCCCGCCCCCCCCCCTCCCCCCCCCCCCCGAGCCCCTTTTCCTCCCCCTCCAGCCAGGGCCACTCTCTCTTTCACAGGTGATTTATGAGTCGACTCAAGAATCACCTACGGCTGCATCAAGTGGCTGTCATCCATCAGTCAGTCTGTTCACTCCCCCCCCTCCTCCTCGCGAGCCCCCTTTCCTCCCTCTACAGCCAGGGCCACTCTCTCTTTCATCGCCCCAGACCCTGTGGTACCTCACCAGATCGAGCAACGTATTATCCGGCCCTTCCCCCATCAACCCCCCCCCCCCCCCTCCGCTCCTTCAACCCCTCTCAAACAAGCATGTCTCGTGCTTCCACCGCTTCCAGGCACTGTGGTTCTGACACCAGATTGAGTAACGTGCTATCCCCCCCCCCACCCAAAATCTTTCTCCCATCCCCCCACCACCTCTTTACCCCTCCCCAGCAAGGACCTGTTGCGCTTCCACCGCCCCCAGGCGCTTCCTTACCCTAAACCCGCACCAGAGCAAGGCGGCAGCCAAGGCGCTGGGGTGACTCAAGTCACTCATTTCTCACCCAGCCTTTCCCCTCCCCCCTTTCCCCTGGTATCTCCCCTCCCAGCAAGGATCTGTCGCGCTTCCACCGCCCGCAGGCGCTGTGGTTCCCCCACCAGAGCGAGGCGGCAGCCAAGGCCCAGGGGCAGCTGGAGGGCGGGGAGGGGAGCATGCGGGTGATCGTGAAGACCCTGGGCAGCAAGGCCGTGAAGCTCCACGTGGGGGGCGGCGAGATGCTGGCCACACTCAGAGCCAAAACCGCCAAGAAGCTGGGAGGTATGCCCTTTATGATCCACGTGGGGGTAGGTACGCTGTTTAAGGAACCGGGAGGTACGTCCTTTTATTGGCGTCAGAATGCACTGCCTTACAACGCAGTGAAGATGCCTCAAGGGCACAGGGGCGGCTGGAGGGCGGGGAGGGGAGCATGCGGGTGATTGTGAAGGCGCTGGGCAGCATGGCAGTGAAGCTGCACGTGGGCAAGGAGGCGAGACGCTGGGCACGCTGAGGGCCAAGACCGCCAAGAAACTGGGAGGTATGCTCCTAATGAGGCTCTAGAATGGCCTTTGTCTCACGAGGGTGTTGTTTCCGAGGCAGTGAGCTCCATGTGGGGAGCGGGGAGATGCTGGGAGCGCTGAGGGGTAAGACCGCCAAGAAGCTAAGAGGTAAGCGTTGTGTAACTTTGCTTTTGAGGTACCTTAAATGGGGCGGCTGGGGGCGGGGAGAGGAGCATGCGGGTGGTGAAGACGTTGGGAAGCAAGGTAGTGAAGATCCACATGGGAGGTATCTCCTTCATGAGACTCTAGAATGTACCAGGCGAAGTACACCACTTGAACTGCACCACACGAAGTGCACGAGACGAAATGCACACCAGACGAAGTGCACCGGCCAAAGTGCATCGGCCGAAGTGCACCAGACGAAGTGCTCCATGAGCGCCATGCCCTTTACCACTCTATCCCTCCCTCAGGATTTTTCCCCCTCACTTCGTTCCTCCCTCACTCTTTCCCCCCATAACGCTGCCCCTCCCTCACACCCCCTCGCTTCATGCAGACATGAAGGACAGCGAGCCGGTGCGCTTCTTAACCAACGGCCTTAGAGAAAGCCCCTGGGAGAGCAGGGAGTGCGCGCCAGCGCCATGATCCACGGGGTGCGCTTCACCCAACTGTCTCCCCCCTTCCCTTGCGCCCCCCACCATGCAGACATGAAGGACAGCGAGCCAGTGCGCTTCTTCTCCAACGGCCAGGAGGTGATGGCTGACAAGCCCCTGGGCGAGCAGGGCGTGCGGGCCAACGCCATGATCCACCTGGTGCGCCCGCGGCTCTACCCGTGGGGGAGGGCGCACCTGAAGCTGCCGGGGGACAGCAAGCCCAAGCGGCCACCCGGGGCGTTCAGGAAGAAGGCGGACCTGTCGGTTAAAGATGGGCACGTGGTGCTGATGGAGTGAGTGGGGGGGGGGAGGGGAGTGAGGGGTTGGGGATGAAAGGCATGAGGGGGGTGTGAGTGGGAGGAGGGGTGAGCGTGTGAGGCAGGGGGCAAGTGAGCATGGGGGAAGGAAGGGCACAGGAGAATCCGTTGGTTGCACACTGCCAACACCACTCACCCCACCTATCTCCTGCCACTAACTACTTACCCTCCCCCGGCCCCCCTCGCCCTTCCTTTCCTCCGGAATTTTGTCTCCCCCAGGTACTGCGAGGAGCGCCCTCTCCCACCACTCTAACCTCCCTCTTCCCCGATCCCCGTTTTCAACCTTCCCCCTTTTCCCCTTATCCCGTTTTCGCTTCCCCAGGTACTGCGAGGAGCGCCCGCTGCTCCTCAGCAACATGGGCATGGGTTTCTCATCCCTCCCCACTCCTTCCAATTCCCGCGTCATCTCCCCCCAACACCCCCCCCCGTCTCCCTCCCCCCGTCTCCCCCCTTCCTCTTCCAGGTACTGCGAGGAGCGCCCGCTGCTCCTCAGCAACGTGGGCATGGGCGCGCGGCTCGCCACCTACTACCGCAAGATCTCCACCGTCGATGCCGGCGCCGCTGCGATCCGGGACGTCCCTTTCTCCGGCTCGGTCATCCCCCTGGAGCCAGATGAGGAGTCCCCTTTCCTGGGGGACGTCCGGGCCGGCACCAGCCAGTCCAGCGTCGAAACGAACCTCTTTCGCGCGCCGGTGTTCCGACAGACCGTGCCGCACACGGACTATCTGCTCGTGCGGTCGGCGAAAGGGAAGCTGTCGATAAGGAGGATAGATGGCATGCAGGTAGTGGGGCAGCAGGAGCCCCACCTGGAGGTGATGAATCCAATCTCTAAGGCCGCAGTGCTGCATAGTAGCAACCGGCTCATGGTTGAGGTTTGCCGGGCGTTCCGGGATTATGACAAGGAGAAAGACGGTGGAGGGAGTGGTGGGAGGGGGGGGTGCAGGTGAAGGGGGGGAAGAAGGGGGCCCGGCGTGCAGCGGTGAATGCGCCCAAGGTGAGGGCGGATGATATTGCAGCGCAGTTCCCCACGCTGACCGAGGGGCTTATAAAGAAGCGGATTAAAACGTGCGCGGAGCTGCAGAGGCTGGAGGGAGGCGAGATGTGGTGGGTGATGCGGAGAAACTTCCGGATACCTTCCGAGGAGGAGCTACGGAGGATGGTCACACCAGACCTGGTGTGCTGTCATGAGAGCATGCAGGCTGGGCTGCACCACCTCCGGCGAATCGGCATCCGGCACCTCACCAACGCGTCCCCGCCTCTCAGTTCTGCAATCGCGCAGCTCCTCCCGGACAACCCGATAAAGATGGCAGCGAGTCTGCTTATAGAGAGGGAGTTACTGCTCACGCCCTGGAGCTTATCGCACAACTTTGTATCGAGTATGACCCACGGAAAGGGCGGCCTGGAAAAGTTGGAAATTAGTGGAGCAGGGGACCCGTCCGGCCGCGGCTTGGCGTTTTCCTTTCTCAAGATCCAGCACAAGCAGCCAGGGGCGGAGAAGATCAAGGTGGTGGAGAAGCGGGCGGCGCAGGCTCGGGGAGGGGCGGCGGTGACAGGCACGGACGCGGACCTGCGCAGGCTCGGGATGGAAGCGGCTCGGGAGGTGCTGCTCAAACTAGGCGTAGCAGACGAACAAATCCAAAAGATGGGCCGGTGGCACAGGATAGCTCTGGTGAGAAAGCTCTCTTCTGAGCAAGCAGCTGCTGCTGGGGGGAAGAGTGACTCGGTTGCCGCGCTGAACAAATTCGCGCGAGGGCAGCGAATGTCGTTTTCGCAGCTGCAGCTGCAGACGCGGAGCAAGTGCCAGGAGGTGTGGGAGAAGCAGTTGAAGAGCTTGTCTGCGCTGGCAGAAGGGGAGGAGGAGGAAGAGGAGGAACTGTTGGGTGACTTGGACTCGTTTGCAGGGGATCTGGAGAATCTGCTTGAGGCGGAGGAAGGGGGGGAAGAGGAGAGGAGGGACGGGGGAGGGGCCAGGGGAGGCGGAGCGGGGGGGATGAGGAGGAGGAGGGCGTGGGAGGTGCAGCGGGAGGAGGAGTTAGAAGATGAGGAGGCGGAGGCGGCTGCTCTCAGGCGAATGCTGCTGGAAGGTGGGTGTAGGGGGGAGGGATGGGGGTGCATGGGGGCATGGGTGCATGGGTGGGGAGGGTGATGGGCGGTGGGTGCATGGGCCATCAGGATGGAACTCGATTGATAGGATGGAATAGAAGAGGATACTTGAGAGTTCGCTTTTGAGTCGACTGAAAAGGATACTTGAGAGTTTTAGATGTCTGATGCTTTGAGGGCTCACAGTTGCTCCATGCGGGCATGAACGTGTGTATGTGTGTGGGGGGGGGGGATTGGGGGCTGCTGAACGTGTGTATGTGTGTGTGGGGGGGATTGGGGGCTGCTGAACGTGTGTATGTGTGTGTGGGGGGGATTGGGGGCTGCTGAACGTGTGTATGTGTGTGTGGGGGGGATTGGGGGCTGCTGAACGTGTGTATGTGTGTGGGGGGGGGTTGGGGGCTGCTGAACGTGTGTATATGTGTGGGGGGGGGGTTGGGGGCTGCTGAACGTGTGTATGTGTGTGTGGGGGGGATTGGGGGCTGCTGAACGTGTGTGTGTGTGGGGGGGGGGGATTGGGGGCTTCTGAACGTGTGTATGTGTGTGTGGGGGGGGTTGGGCGCTGCCGAACGTGTGTATGTGTGTGTGGGGGGGGGGTTGGGGGCTGCTGAACGTGTGTATGTGTGTGTGGGGGGGGTTGGGTTGGGGGCTGCTGAACGTGTGTATGTGTGTGTGGGGGGGGGTTGGGGGCTGCTGAACGTGTGTGTGTGTGTGTGTGTGCGTGCGTTCATTTGTGTGTGTGATTTTGGGCGCGCGTGTGTGCGCATGTATGTCTGCATGCATGCATGCATGGTTCACTTGTGCTGCATGATTGCAGATGATGATCCCAAGGAGAGCAGCAAGAAGAAGAAAGACAAGAAGAAAGACAAAGGCAAGGAGAAGGAGAAGGAGAAGGAGAAGGAGCGGGATAAAGGGAAGGAGAAGGACGGAGGGGAGAAGAGCAGCAGTGCGGCCAAGCAGGGCGAGGCAGGAGGAATGGTGCGTCTTTGGCCGTCTGTTTGGGGATAATCCTGTATGCGTCCTCGCATTTGATTCAGCTCAATAGCCTCATGTTTAATCATGTTCCTCCTCCCCTCCTCTCCTCCTCCCCTCCTCCTCGCCTCCTCCTCCCCTCCTCCTCCCCTCCTCCTCCCCTCCTCCTCCTCTCCTCCTCCCCTCCTCCTCTCCTCCTCCCCTCCTCCTCCCCTCCTCCTCCCCTCCTCCTCCCCTCCTCCCTCTCCTCCCCTTCTTTCAGGGCCAGGAAGCTTGGAATGCCGCTCCAGGCACAGCAGCAGCGGGAGCAGGGGCAGCAGCAGGGGGAGCAGGGGGCGGAGGAGGGGTGGGGGGAGGTGCGGATGGGAGGAAGCGGGTGGTGGTGCGGCGGCTGAAGAAGCTCATCAAAACGCGGCTCCCCGACGGGACGGTTCAGGTCAAAGAGATCATCATCACCGACCCGCAGCAGGTGCGTAGGGGCGCTGTGGTTGAGAGCTTAGGGGTTTTTTTAGTCGTCTCGAAAATCACCTGTGGCTCTGAGACGGGACGGTTCAGTTCAAAGAGATGGTCATCACGGACCCGCAGCAGGTGGGTTGGGGGGGCGCTGTTGATGAGAATTTAGGGGAATTTTAGCGGACTCAAGAATCACCTGCGGCTTTTCGACGGGACGGTTCAGGTCAAAGAGATCATCATCACCGACCCGCAGCAGGTGCGTGGAAGGGAGTGCGTGTGGATGAGAGCTTAGGGGATTTTTTCGCGGACTCGAGAATCGCCTGCGGGGAGTGCGTGGGAGGGAGCGCGTGTGGTACAATCTAATGAGGTGACTTTTGAGTCGACTCAAAAGTCACCTCGCAGCAGGTGCGTGGGAGGGAGTGCGTGTGGTACAATCTAAGTTGCGAGGACTAAACTTGTGCCGCACAGATAAGAGAGATTCTCACCACATCACAGACCCGCAGCAGGTGGGTTGGGGGTACTGTGACGGGCCTCGTACAATATGAGCATCGTAATTTGGTCCTGACCCTGGTTCACAGCCACAGCGATCGGGCGAGGTCATGGCCCCTGGTGGTTTATCACTGCCTCTCTGACATCTCTACTTTATGCCACTCTTCTCACTTCATCCATGCTTCTTCCAGCCTTCTCTGCTTTCTAGTTTGGTTCCCCCTTCTCCTCTCGTCCGTCGGTCGCGCGCTGTCTCGAATTTAGGTTGCCCTCTGTTGCCGTCACTCCCTCCTTTTATTTCCTCCTTCCCTTCTTCTTTCCTCCGTGTTTCCTTCTGCCTCAGATTGAGGCTGAGATGGCAAAGCGGTCAGCCCTAGCAGCGCAGAGAGGCGCGGCAGGAGGGCAGGGAGAGCAGCAAGGAGGGGCGGAGAAGGGCCAGACGGGGGCAGGTGAAACGAGCAAGGCTGTGATGCAACCCCCGGCCTCCCAACCACCTGCCACGCCATCCAAAAAGGATGCCTCAGATAAGGTGAGCTCCTATCGTTGCCTTTGCTCCTCTCCCTCTCACCCCTCCTCGCCCTCGTATCCCCGCCCACCCTTCTGGAGGCCACGAGCCTTTGATTCGACTCAAAAATCTTTCTGTCCCTTCAATTGAATTCTTTCTGTGCTCATGGTGCAGGGGGATGGAGGCGAGGGTATGGGTAAGAAGCGGAAGAGGGGAGGGCAGGCGGGAGCCAAGCCCGAGACACCCACAAAGGGAACCCCTACTCCTACCAAGAAGGAAGCTTCTGGGAAGAAGGAAGGCAGCGGGACGAAGAAGGGGCAGAGGGCGTCGGTGGTGTGCGGGGCGTGCGGGCAGGAGGGACACATGCGCACTAACCGCGCCAAGTGCCCGCTCTATATGGAGGATGAGGAGGGGAACCAAATTCACAGGGATGGAGCGCAGGCAGAGGGTTTGCTTGAGAGGAAGGGTACGAAGATCAAGATCAAGTCGAAGTTGTTGCTGGGGAAGGGTGGGGGGAAGGGTGGGGGGAAGGGGGCGGGTGAGGGGATGGGTGGTGGAGGGGTGAGTGGTGCTGGTGGGGGGAGTGCGGTGGAAGGTGGTGGAAAGGGTGCTTCTGCTGCTGTTGGTGATGGTGCTGATGGTGCTGATGGTGATGGTGCTGATGGTGCTGATGGGGATGATGGGTTTGATGTTGATGCAGCAGCCACCCAGCCTAGCGAAGCCAGCTATGGTGGTGTGGGTGCTGCTGGTGGCGTCGGGAAGAAGAGCAAGGAGAAGAAGGGCAAGAAAGGGAAGAAGGGCAAGAAGGAGAAGGAGAAGGAGAAAAAGAAGGGCAAGAAAGGTGCCCACTCTATTCTTGACGGCGACGTTGCTGCTGATGTAGATACTGCTGCCGACGGTGCTCCTGCTGATGCTGACGCTGCTGCTGATGCTGCTGATGGTGCCGATGGTGCTGTTGACGTCTCTCATCCCTCTCCATTGGCTTCACCTGACCGAGCGCATGCAGATGATGCTGTTGACGTGCCTGACGATGGTGAGGGTGATCATGGTGATGGAAATGGTTATGGTGCTGATGGAGTTGATGGCAGTGAGGACGAGGTCACATCCCCTCCCCGCCCTCACCTCAAGGGGAGAGAAATGTCGCCCGGAGGAGAGTCTCCTGCGCCTCACGAAGCTTCCACGCAGCTTCAGCTAGCGGACGATACAATAGAGAGGATCACGGGGGGAGGCTTGGGCGAAAGGGAGATGAATGAGAAGGGGGTGGGTGGGAAGGAGGTGAGTGAGAGGGGGGTGAGTGAGAGGAAGGTGAGTGAGAAGAGGGTGAGTGAGACGAGGGTGAGTGAGAAGGGGAGGAAGAAGGGAGTGCACAAGCACGGATTGGAAAAGCACGTGTCACTGAAGGTCCGGTTCCCATGTGTGAAGATCAAGCTCGCAGGGAAAGGGGGTGCGGAGGCACGAGGGGATGGGGATGATGAGGGTGGTGGGGATGGTAAGGGCGACGGGGGGTCTGGGGGACATGGGGCGATGTATGGAGGGGAAGAGGGTGAGGGGATGCCAGGAGGGGTTACGGCAGGTGATGAGGAAGGGGAGGTTGGCAAGGCTGGTGAGGAGGTTGAGGAAGGGAGTCAGTTGGAGGGTTGGAAGAGGAAGGAGGGGGGGGAGAAGAAGAGGAAGCGGAAGAGGAGGGAGGGGTTGGGTGTGCATAGAGAGGAGGAGAGGCAGAAGGGCGGTGGTGGGCAGCAGGGTGGAGAGGGTGGTGGGAGGAGCGTGGCACAGCGTGGGGGGGAGAGAGTTGCTGGAAGGGGAACGGGTGAGTCTAGAGGTAGGGTGAGGGAAGAGTGGGAGGGGGAGGAGGAGTGGAAGGAACGGAGCATGGAGGAGGAAGTACAGAGGCCGAAGAAGCAGAGGAGAGGGGAGACGAGCGCCGGTGGGGATTGGGTGGCAGATCAGGAGGAGGAGGAGGAGGAAGGGAAGGGGCAGCAGCAGCAGGACCAGCAGGAGGAGCAGGAGGGCAGGAGTAAGGATGAGTTGAGGCAAAAGTTCCGAAAGGCAGCAAGGGGGGGAATGGATCCTTTTGAGGAGAAGGGGGAGGTGGAGGAGGTGAAAGAGAGTGTGAGGAGTGAAATGCGGGGGAAAGAGAAGGGATATGGTAGGGCCAGGGAAAGGGAGGAGGAGAAGAGGAGTGAGAGGAAAAGAGAGAAGGGGGGGATGAGTGAAGGTCAGAGGATGAATGCAGAAGCTGTTGGCAAGTATACCGAGCCTCACCCCGCTGCCAGAAGGCTTGCTGCTTCGGAGAAAGAGCGAGGAGGTTCGGCATCGCCAGGTTCAGTTGACAGGCTTGGTAGAGCTGCAGGAAGGGACAGGCATGTGGAGGGGTGGGTGGAGAGAGAGGGTGGTGGAAGGGGGCGCAGTGAGGTGGGCGAGGGTAAGGGGCAGGATAGGCAAGGGGAGGGGAGGGAGAGGAAGAAGGATAAAGAGAAAGAGAAGAGACACAGGGATCGAGAAAGGCACAGGGACAACGAGTGGGATGGAGAAGTGGAAAGAGAGATAGGGAAGGAAAGGGGGGAAGGAAGGATTCTCAAGCTCAAGTTGGACCGCAAAGACGGGGAGAGAGAGAGGAGGGGGGAGAGGGAGAGGGAGGGATGGGAGGAGAAGGAGCAGGAGAGGGTGCAGGAGAGGAACCATGACCATGAGTGGCGGCGCGAGAAGGAAAAGAAGGTTGGTGAGAAGAGAAAAAAGGACGAGGCGCAGGGTGAGAGGGATGAGTGGAAGAGAAGGGAGGATAGGGAGAGGAAAGAGGAGAGGGAGGGGAAAGAGGAGAGGGAGGGGAAAGAAGAGAGGGAGAGGAGGCGAGAGAAAGATAGGAAGGACGAGAAGGGCAGGAGAGAGGAGCGGGAGAGGAGGGAGGCGAGGGAGAGGAGGGAAGAAAGGGAGAGGTCTCAATCTGTGGGAGTTGAAGAACAGAGGGGGAGGAGCAGAGGGGAGAGAGAGGAGAGAGAGGAGAGAGAAGAAAGGGACAAGGACTGGCGGGAGGAGGAGAGGGCGCATGGTGGGCCGCATGGAGGGAAGCGGCTCAAGGTCGCTGCATCTGGTAAGGGGAGAGTGGGAGGAGGTGGGTTGCACGGAGCAGGGGACCAAGGGGGAGGGGCCCAAGGGAAAGGGGCCCAAGCTCTCAAGGGCCCTCGGTCAAAGGGGGTTGCGGGAGAGGGTGCGAGGCGCAGTGCTCCGTCTGGTGCTTGGGATGGTGGTGGTGGACGGGGGGAGGGAGGAGGAGGACCGGCACTTAAGCGCGTGAAGCTGCCTGAAGGGGGAGTTCTGGTGAGTGGAAAAGTGTAGTTTGATAGCAATTACATTAAGGGGGTGCTTTTTAACACACTGATGATTTTCCACCTTTTCCCTGAAACTGCAGGCCAAGGATTCTCTTCGAAGCGTCTTTGATAATGTGCTTGCCGCTTTGCGGTACGTGGAGCTCTCATTCATCTTCCAGAAGCCAGTGACAAAGAAAGAAGCGCCCGACTATCATACCATTATCAAGCACCCCATGGATCTTTCCACCATGGCCAAGAAGAACCGGCAAGGAGTATATCTGTCGAGGGATGCCTTTTGGAGCGACATGAAGCTTATTCAGCGCAATGCGCATGTTTACAACGAGGACCGTAACCCTGGCATTCCCCCACTAGCTGACCAGTTGGTGGAGCTCTGTGCGAAGGAATTGGAGAAGCACAGGGAAGAGGTTGACGATGCCGAAGCAAGGCTTAGTTCCTTCGTTACATAAATTGATTGATGTAGCTCTGCTTGGTTTGGGGCCTTGTTTGCACAACAATTTAGTTGTATATATATCCATGGTGTAATGCGTGGAAGTCAAATGTCTACAGTGATTCAGTCTGGAAGCCCGCAACGGCAACTGACAAGCCCGCTCGGAGAGCTTGACGGGCGAGCATTGCGTTGCGACACTCCCAACGTTTCCCGCCAGAGTGACCAGCTGACAACCCCAAGGTCTCTGCGTTTCCCTCCCCCCTCCTTACCCCCCTTCCCCCAAACCTGCTCCCCCCGCGAGAGCAAATCTCGAGCGCGCGGATCACACATTTGACTCCTATGACCTGCCACCATCTGCCTGGAGACCGTTTCTAGCTGCTTCTGCTGGAATCTCTGCTTAGTTCCCTAGCGAGTAGGCTGGACTTCTGAATGTTTTTAGGTTCCTGCCATCCTCTGCGTAGAGCATCCTTCCCTGTCCTCTCTTCCGTCGTTTTAATTTTAAACTCCAACATCGCGACAAAGGAGGGGTGTTCGTTCTGTCTCGCACGCGGCTGCTGCGCTGCTGCTCGATCAGACCCACACATCGTTACAGCTAAAGGATAAGAAAATGGCTTAGTTCTGATGAACGAGTTTCGTTTCCAAGCCTATTTCTTGAACGATTTCAAGCTCGTTCTTTGTCGCTTCGTCCTGACCCTCTCGACGTCCATAGCACTCATTCTGGCCAATCGCAGCGCTATATTCAGCATTAACTGTTAACTGCTTATCAAAGGACCTATCGCACACCCATTCGCGAGGTTCCGCATCTTGACACGTCAGCTGCTCTGCTACCCACCAGAAACGGTCGATAGGAAAAACAGCTCTTTCTCCGATTTTCAGGAAGATAGGATTGTTAGAGTTCTTAAAGCCCGGGTGGCAGCCAGGCAGTCGCAAAAGCGCCAGCGAAAGGGAAAGGCCCGAAATTCCGTGCTCTCTGTTACCACTCTCAGTCATCTCGCTCTGTAATCACACTCTGTAGTCAAACTAGTCATCGGTAGGTCAGGCATCAGTAGTCAGTGTAGCTGCGATGCAGTTCCTGCGATCGGTGCTGGGGACTGGCGGAGGGGCCAAGGAGTTTCCGTACAACATCGGCGAAGCTTACCCGTCCGCATGGGGTCCCTGGACGCACCACCAAGGCACCTGCAAGGTGAGAGCGCCTGCTGAGTTCACTAGCACTCGAAATCGTACTTGTGTCTTGAGGCCCCTGAGAAGCTGAGCTGGGTTGCCTTGCAGTAGCTGCTGATCGTAATAAGATGATTTCGGTCTCGGCTTCAATTCACCAGGTTGCACGCACGTCACGGCATGTATGAGTTTAGCGGCTGTGGGCAATGGTGCGTGTCTATTTTTGAGGCGCCTCAAAAATAGACTCCTCACTGTGGGCCGTGGCGCATGTCGCAGCATGCCATCTCCAATCTCAGCACGTCTAACTGCACACATTCGTGCATGCATGCGTATATACGCTTTCCGCAACCCATTCATGAATGCGTGAATGCTCGTGCGTGCGTTACCAGGAGGACGGCAGTGCAGTATCGATCTTCTCCATAACGGGTTCGAATCCTCAGGACGCCAGACTTGCTCCTGCGAGGAACTGCGTCAAGCGACTCAGAATGGTGAGCCTACAGATATTATTAGACTCCTGAATTTTACCTGGTTAGTATATGACGTGCAATTCATAACTTGCGTTGTAACTTCGTAATCCGACAACTTTAAAAATGGTATCCCTCCGTCGCCTGCTGGCAGCTGCAGCATCCAAACGCGCTGTCGTTTCTGAACAGCGTGGAGGTGGGGTTCCAAGGAGCCTCAAACCCCTCGTTACCATCCCCACCCACCCCCCCTTCTCCCCCCCCCCCGCCCCCACCCCCACCAACCGCTTCCCGTCCTCACACTGGCAGCTGCGGCATCCGAACGTGCTGTCGTTTCTGAACAGCCTTGAGGTGGAGAAGGAGGAGGGCGGCGTGCAGAAGCCGACCATCTACATCATCACGGAGCCCGTCATGCCGCTGGACCTGCGACTGAAGGAGCTCAAGCTCAAAGGATCCCAGAGGTGAGAAGGGGAGGGGCGAGAAGGGGATCATGAGGGGGCTGTAAGGAGGGCGCCGTGCAGAAGTCGACCATCTACATCTTCACCGAGCCAGTGATGCCGCTGGACCTGAGATTGAAGGAGCTCAAGCTCAAAGGGCAGCAGAGGTGAGAGAGGCTGTAGGCGCAGAGGTGACTTCTCTTGGGCCTTCATCTTTCTTTGTATGGATGTGAAGGACTCGCCTTGAAGCAGTCTGTGAAATGTGCCAAACAGATCATATATGTAGCTGTGTGCCCATGTGACCGCTGTGCGCCCATGTGACTGCTGTGCGCATGTGTGCAGGGACGAGTATTATGCGTGGGGACTGCTGCAAGTGGCGAAGGCTGTGAGCTTTCTCAACAATGACTGCAAGCTGGTGAGTCGATCTGGCTCTTTCGATTCGGTAAGTCTGCGTCAACAGGGACGCCTAAGCCTGTGCTTCCAACGATTTATGAGACGTCTTGAGCGCCATACAGCTATCTACACGTGCACGGCAACGTGTGCTTGGCAGTAGTGGTATCCACTGGCACTCTTGACTGGATGCTGCATGGTTTTGACTGCCTCTCCCAAGGTCACCACTTACACACACACCCCCCTCCCCCTCTCTTCCCCCCTCTCCCCCTCATCCCGCAGGTGCATGGCAACGTGTGCATGGCAGCAGTAGTAACCACGGGCACGCTTGACTGGAAGCTGCATGGCTTTGACGTGCTGTCGGAGTTCGATGGGGGCAAGCCCGACGCCCCTGATGGGCCCATGCTGGTGAGTGGCGTAGAGGGAATCGAGCCCCATAGCCGTTCCATCATGCTGCACACAGCTGCACTTGACTGGAAGCTGCACGGCTTTGACGTGCTGCCAGAGCTCGATGGAGGGAAGCACGACTTTGAGGCGCATCAAAATTCGATTGGAAGCTGCACGGCTTTAACGTGCTTTCAGAGTTTGATGGAGGGTAGGTAGCCTGACGCCCCTGATGGGCCCAAGCTGGTGAGATTAGCATTCAGGCCTGAACCACTCCTCCAGTAACTCCACCGCCCTGTCATGCCCCGTTTCCCCCTTCTCTTCCTGCTCCCTTCTCAATGCCTTCCCCTCTTTTCGCGACCCGTTTCATGCATCTACTGCATCATCCACCATGGCATGTGCGTGCATCTACTGCATCATCCACCATGGCATGTGCGTGCATCCACTGCATCATTCACCATGGCATGTGCGTGCATCCACTGCATCATCCACCATGGCATGTGCGTGCATCCACTGCATCATCCACCATGGCATGTGCGTGCATCTCCGTGTGGCAGCCATACGAGTGGATGGTGGGCGCACAGTACAAGTCCATGGAGCTAGCCAAGAGTGACTGGGCCGCCATCAGGCGGGGCCCTCCCTACGCCATCGACTCCTGGGGGCTTGGTGAGTGCTCTGCGCCCCATTGCCGGTTCTTTCATTGATCCGTGTTTTATTTCCTTCTGCCATCTCACCCCCGTTCCCCCCACCCCCCCCCCACCCCCTCAATTCCCGCTTCCCCTTCCCCTTCCTTTTCTGCTCTTCTTGACCCCCTTCAATCTCCCTCTTCTCACCCGCCTTTCACTCGCCCATCTCCCACGCGTGCAGGCTGTCTGATCCAGGAGGTGTTTTCAGGGCACCAGCTGACTCGCACTGAAGAGCTCAGAAACACAGCGTGCATCCCCAAGGTACCACATCATTCTAACCCCTCTCAACTACATATGCCCTCACCCCATGCAAGCCTTCCCACCCCATGCGAGCCTGCCCACCCCATGCGAGCCTGCCCTCCCCGTGCGAGCCTGCCCACCCCGTGCAAGCCTGCCCACCCCATGCGAGCCTGCGCACCCCATGCGAGCCTGCCTACCCCATACGAGCCTGCCCACCCCATTCGAGCCTGCCCACCCCATGCGAGCCTGCCTACCCCATACGAGCCTGCCCACCCCATTCGAGCCTGCCCACCCCATGCGAGCGTGCCCACCCAATGCAAGCGTGCCCACCCCATGCGAGCGTGCCCACCCCATGCGAGCCTGCCCACCCCATGCGAGCGTGCCCACCCCATGCGAGCCTGCCTACCCCATGCGAGCCTGCCCACCCCATGCGAGCGTGCCCACCCCATGGGAGCGTGCCCACCCCATGCGAGCCTGCCCAACCCATGCGAGCGCGCCCACCCCATGCGAGCGCGCCCACCCCATGCGAGCGTGCCCACCCCATGCGAGCGTGCCCACCCCATGCGAGCGTGCCCACCCCATGCGAGCCTGCCCACCCCATGCGAGCCTGCCCACCCCATGCGAGCGTGCCCACCCCATGCGAGCGTGCCCACCCCATGCAAGCCTGCCCACCCCATGCGAGCGTGCCCACCCCATGCGAGCCTGCCTACCCCATGCGAGCCTGCCTACCCCATGCGAGCCTGCCCACCCCATGCGAGCGTGCCCACCTTATTCGAGCCTGCCGACCCCATGCGATCGTGCCCCTTCATCAATCCCTCTTGCCCCGTGCCGTGCCCCACCCTCGCACAGACTCTCCTTCCGGACTACCAGCGTCTGCTCAGCTCTGCCCCTGCCAGGCGACTCAACCCCGCCAAGCTCATTGACAATAGCGGTAAGGGAGACATCACTGGCGGTTGAGAGTGGTGTGAGGTGATTGAAAAGTGGTGGTGGCCCTGCCAAGCTCACATGTCCTGAGTTCTGCGCTGCACGTTTTCAGACACCCCGTATTGCGTTACCCTCGGTCCTCTCGTCCCCCATAACTTGCAGAGTTCTTCCAGAGCAAGCTAGCAGAGACGGTGCAGTTCATGCAGGTCCGTAGTTTTGAGGCGCCTCAAAACTAGACTCCTCTCGTCCCCCATAACTTGCAGAGTTCTTCCAGAGCAAGCTAGCAGAGACGGTGCAGTTCATGCAGGTGCGGAGCCTCAAGCATCCATCGTGTCCTCCTCGCCTTTAATCCCCCTACTTCAAGACCTGCAGAGTTCTTCCAGAACAAGCTGGTGGAAACGATGCAGCTCATGGAGGTGCTGAGCCTCAAGGGCTTCCGCCGCCTGTCTCTTTCCCCCTTCCTCTCTTACCACCCTTTCCCCTTGTTCCTCCTTCCATCCCCTAAACTCGTTACAGAGTTCTTCCAGAACAAGCTAGTGGAGACGGTACAGTTCATGGAGGTGCTGAGCCTCAAGGACAGCGTGGAGAAGGACGGCTTCTTCCGCCGCCTGCCCGCCCTCTGCGACCAGCTCTCGCGCCCCATCCTCCTCAAGAAAATCCTCCCACAGCTCTCCTCCGCCCTCGAGTTTGGGTCGGCTCCAGCGCCGGCTCTGACTGTGGTGCTCAAGCTAGGGGGGTGGCTGAACCAGGAGGAGTTTAATGCCAAGGTAGGGGCGTGCGGTCATGTATGTGTGGCAGCAGGTAGCTCATGGTATGCAGTGTTTGCATGTACCAACACCCGCCCTCTGCGACCAGCTCTCGCACCCCATCCTGCTCAAGAAGATCCTCCCACAGCTCACCTCCGCCCTCGAGTTTGGGTCCGCGCTGGCGCCTGCTCTGACCGTGGTGCTCAAGCTGGGAGGGTGGCTGAGTCAAGAGGAGTTTAATTCCAAGGTAGGGGCGTGTGAGAGCGCATATGTCGTGGAGGTAACGGTGGATGTAGTGTGTACATTCGCCAGAACTAGCATCACCAGCACCGGCTCTGACTGTGGTGCTCAAGCTGGGGGGGTGGCTGAGTCAAGAGGAGTTTAATTCCAAGGTAGGGGCATGTGAGAGCGCATATGTCGTGGAGGTAACGGTGGATGTAGTGTGTACATTCGCCAGAACTAGCATCACGAGCACCGGCTCTGACTGTGGTGCTCAAGCTGGGGGGGTTGCTGAACCAGGAGGAGTTCAATGCCAAGGTGAGCGTGTGGGAACGCATGTATGATGCTGGTAGCTTATGGATCTAGTGTGTACGTGTACATGCACCAGCATCCTTGGGTCAAACTCGATTCAAGAGTCTAGCTGTTTTGAGTCACCCTCCAAGCCCTCACAGGATCTCCTTCTCACCACCCAACTCTCTTCCCACCCTCCATCAGGTGCTGCTCACACTAGTCAAGCTCTTTGGCTCCTCTGATCGCACCATACGGGTGTCATTGCTGCAGCACCTGGACTCGTTTGGCGTGCAGCTAGCGACTCAAACCCCCTCCCCACCTCCCGACTGTGAGGCACTTAAACCCTAAACCCGGGACCCTAATTCCCTTTGTATCCACCGTCAGGTGCTGCCCACACTAGTGAAGCTGTTCGGGTCGTCGGATCGCGCCATCCGGGTGTCACTCCTCCAGCACCTGGACTCGTTTGGCGCACAGCTAGCCCCCAGCGTGGTGGAGGAGCAGGTGTTTCCGCACCTCAGCTCCGGCTTCACCGACCCCTCGGCCCTCTTGAGAGAGCTCACGCTCAAGTCCATGCTGCTGCTCGCACCCAAGGTACTTCTCTTCGTACCGGTAGGACTGGTCATGTGGGCACCCAGCCCCCGGCGTGGTGGAGGAGCAGGTGTCTCCACTCCGCACCTCAGCTCAGGCTTCACCCTCCCTTGAGACAGCTGATGCTGACATCCATGCTGCTGCTCGCACCCAAGGTTCTGCCACACCGCTTATAGTCACTATGGCCGCTCCTACGCAGCTAGCGCCCAACATGATGGAGGAGCAGGTGTTTCCGCACCTCAGCTCCCGCTTCACCGAACCGTCGGCTCTTTAAAGGGAGCTGATGCTGAAATCCATGCTGCTGCTTGCACCTAAGGTAGTTCTCCTTCTCACCTAAGGTTCTTGGTTGGTATAGCTACTACGTATGCAGCTAACCCCCAACGTGGTGGAGGAGCAGGGTTTTCCACTCCGCACCTCAGCTCGGGCTTCACTGACCCCTCTGCTCTCTTGAGAAAGCTCACCCTCCAAGTCCATGCTGCTGCTCGCACCCAAGGTACTGAGAAACCGCTTATAGTCACTGTGGCCACTACTATGCATCGAACCCCAAATGTGGTGGAATAGCAGGTGTTTCCCCACCTCCGCTCTAGCATCACCAATCCCTCTGCTCTTCTAAGGGAGCTGCTTGCTTACTTGCTTGCCTGCTTGCTTGCTTGCCTACTTGCTTGCTTGCTTGCTTGACCCTCTCAACTCCGTGCCTACCTGCTTGCCGCTCTCCCTCCCCTGCTTCCCCAGACTCAGCTCTCTCAGCGCCTTCTCCGGAGGCCTTTTTTGAGTCGACTAAACAATTGCTCAAGCGTCTCTCCAAGCAAGGAGGTGGCAACACCAACAATCCCTCTCCCTCCTTTCCCCCTCCCTGCTTCCCAACCTCCCCCCAATCTCCCCTTGTTCCCCCCTTCCATCCCCCCCCCATCCCCCCCCCATCACCAGCTCTCCCAGCGCGCTCTTGGGGGCCCTCTGCTCAAGCATCTCTCCAAGCTGCAGGTGCGTTTCCATCGCTGCTGTCAATGTTTCTTTGCTACCAGTTTGCACTATCAGAGAGTTTCAGACGGGGTGCGTTAGGTGCTGGCTTGGCCAATTCGTCGTGAAGCACATACTGTCCACCGCTCTCCTTGGTTCTCGACTGTGCCCTTCGCCTTGGTTCCATTCCCCCCTTGCTTCAGGTGGATGAGGAAGCAGCCATCCGCACCAACACAACCATATTGCTTGGGAATATCGCCAGACACCTGAACGAAGCAGTGAGTGTTCCCCCCTGCTAGAAAATCCGCTTTTGAGTTGACTCAAAAGAAGCGGTGAGTGTTCTTCCCTGCTGCAAAATCTGAATAACCACAAGAGTCCTCATGGAGTCTGGCTGGTCCTGTCTCTTTTTCCACATGCCTCCTCTTTTTCCACATGCCTCGCTTTCCCCCCTCAGTTTCCACTTCCCCAGGGGTCCCCCCCGTTTTGCTCCCCTACTCACTGGTTCCTGCAGACCCACACGAGGGTACTGTGGCCCTCAATGTGGGTGCGGATTAATTTCCGCCATCCCTGGTTCGCAAGAGGGAACTTTTGCCATCAGTGGTGTGCTAATGAGCTCCTCTCGTACATCAGGCCCTCCATCACCACTTCCCATCGTCCTTTTCCCTCCCTTACTCCTCCCTTACCCCCCCCTTACCCCTCCCACCACCCCTTCCCACCACCCCTTCCCATCAACCCTTCCCATCGCCCCTTGCCCTCCCTGCCCCCCTCTCCGACCCTCCCAACAATGTGCCCTCTGCAGACGCGCAAGCGAGTGCTCATCAACGCCTTCACTGTGCGAGCTTTGAGGGACGCCTTCCCTCCTGCCAGGGCTGCAGGTACGCCCTCTCCCTGCCAGGGCTGCAGGTGCGACCTCCCCCTGCCACGGCTGCTGGTATGCCTTCCCCTGGACTTGGCTGCAGGTACGACCTCCCTGTTATAACTGCAGGTGCAACAGGTGGTGGTGATAAGCCAGAACTGCAGATATCAGGCTTTCCAAACGTGGCGTCTTCGCGCACTACCAAGAGAGTGAATGTGATCATTATGCCTGGAAATCATTATGCCCGGAAATCATTATGCCCGGAAATCATTATGCCCGGGAATCATTATGCCCGGGAATCATTATGCCTGGGAATCATTATGCCTGGAAATCATTATGCCCGGAAATCATTATACCCGGGAATCATTATGCCTGGAAATCATTACGCCCGGAAATCATTATGCCCGGAAATCATTATGCCTGGAAATCATTATGCCTGGAAATCATTATGCCCGGAAATCATTATGCCTGGAAATCATTATGCCTGGAGTGTCTCTCTCACCTTGTCATTTCTTCTCCCCCCACATGTCAAGTCTCGGCTTCGTGCATCAGGGCTGTAGCGGCCACAAGAGAGCATCACGGCGCCACTGAGCCTGCGGTTGCTTTTGAGCCGATTAAAAACCAGGCTTCGTGCATCAGGGCTGTAGCAGTTACAAGAGAGCATCTCGGCGCCATTGGGACTGCGGTTGGAGAGGAACATCCTGTGTTCTCTTCTTCCAAACGCCTTCTCTATTCTATTCTCCCGACGCCCCACCCTGTGCTCCAGGCATCATGGCTCTTACGGCCACCAAGGAGTATTACGACGCCACGGAGACTGCCCGTTCCTTCTTTGATTCTCTCTTTTGTCCTCCGATCCCATTTTCCATTCTTTCGTCGCCCCACCCACCTTGTGCTCCAGGCATCATGGCCCTATCAGCCACCAAGGAGTATTGCAACGCCACGGAGATTGCGACCCGCATTGCCCCTCCTTTGATCCTCCAATTACCTTTTCTATCTTCCCACGCCCCATCTTCCTCCAGGCATCACGGCCCTAACAGCCATGAAAAAGTATTATGACGCCACAGAGATTGCCTGATCCTTCTTGTTGTTCTTTTCTGTCCTCCCGACGGCGCCCCACCCACCTTGTGCTCCAGGCATCATGGCCCTGGCGGCCACCAAGGAGTATTACGACGCCACGGAGATTGCGACCCGCATTCTACCAGCTCTAGTGGTGCTCACTGTGGATGCCGACACGTGAGTTTCTCTCTCCCCCTGCGGTTCGGGCTTTTAGTTGCATCTTGGCATATCTCAGCAAAACCCGAAAGGCACCAGTTGCTTGACTATGGGCTTAGTTTTGCAGGGTGTTTTTGAGAATTCTCAAAAACACCCTTAGTTGCATCTTGGCATATCTCAGCAAAACCCCAAAGGCACCAGTTGCTTGACTATGGGCTTAGTAGTACCCCCTGCTATCCTGCTATCCTGCTATCCTGCTATCCTGCTATCCTGCTATCCTGCTATCCTGCTATCCTGCTATCCTGCTATCCTGCTATCCTGCTATCCTGCTATCCTGCTATCCTGCTATCCTGCTATCCTGCTATCCTGCTATCCTGCTGTCCTGCTATCCTGCTGTCCTGCTATCCTGCTGTCCTGCTATCCTGCTGTCCTGCTATCCTGCTGTCCTGCTGTCCTGCTATCCTGCTGTCCTGCTGTCCTGCTATCCTGCTGTCCTGCTATCCTGCCTTCGATACCTATCTTTCCATGTCCTAGTATGTGCATGGCATTTCCCTTTCCCTAGCATCCCTTCCTTCCCAACCCTTTCATGTGCGCCCATCGGCTTTTGAGGCGCCTCAAAAATCTTCTCAACCCTTTCATGTGCTCCCATCGGCCCCAGCAGTGATGTGCACACCAGGGCCCTTCACGCATTATTTAAGTTTAAAATATCTCCTTCTACCTCTCGCCCCCTCCCTTTCCCTTGTACCATCATCCCATCATCCCACCATCCCACCAACCCACCATCCCACCATCCCACCATCCCATCATCCCATCATCGCACCATCCCACCATCCCATGGCCCCCACCCACCAGCGATGTGCACACCAGGGCGGTGCAGGCCGCCTTTGCGTTCCTTCAGTCAGTCTCTGATTTCCACGCCAAGGTGTGCATGCATGCACCACCACCACCTTTCATTCCCGTGCTGTATATTTCGCCTTTCAACCATGTGAGATTATGATTTCCCTTTCAAGCACTTTACACCCGTTTCGCTCTCCTATCTCATCTCCAATCTCTCCAATCTCTCCGTATCACAAGAGTGCTTGAATGGGAAACACAGCAATTTTGCTCTTTTTTGCCCAATGCAGATTGAAGGTCACACAGCAGAGCAAGCCCATGCAGCCGCACCTGCTGCTGCATCTGCTGCTGCGAGTGCTGGCTCCTCTGGCGGGCTGCTAGGGTAAGTTCTGGTGGGCTGGCTTCTCTATTCACTTATGACGTGTCAGAACAAGGCCTAGGAACAGCACCTGCTGCGGCATCTACTGCTGCATTTGCTGTGGCCTCTGTCTCTCTTGTTTTTCCCAAGACTTTCTCACTTACCTCTCGCCCATTCCCCACCCTCCCCAATACCAGCTGGGCGGTCAGCTCGCTCACCTCAGCAGGCCCCAAGGCAGGCCTGGCCCCCCCATGTCTCCTCCCCTCTTTCCCGCAGGGTTGCTTACTCGCAGGGTTGCTTACTCGCAGGGTTGCTTACTCGCAGGGTTGCTTACTCGCAGGGTTGCTTACTCGCAGGGTTGCTTACTCGCCGGGTTGCTTACTCGCAGGGTTGCTTACTCGCAGGGTTGCTTACTCGCCTCCCCCCGTTCCCTCCTACCCAACCCCCCCAAATGCGCTCGCCAGTTGGGCTGTCAGCTCGCTTACCTCAGCAGGCCCCAAGGCAGGAGCCGGGGCTTCTGCTGCAGTTTCTGGGGGAGATTCTACGACTTCTACTTCTGCTGCTCCTGCTGCTGCCGCTGGTGTGTACCATCCTTGACCTCCTGGTTTCTGCATAAGCTAGCTGCATGCCACTTGCTGCATGCCGCTTGCTGCATGCCGCTTGCTGCATGGCGCTTGCTGCATGCCACTTGCTGCATGCCACTTGCTTGCCAACCCTTGAGTCCTCTCCCTTCATGCTCACCTCCCTCTTATCTCTTTCCCTCTCATCCCACCACTCTGTAACTCCGCCCCTAACCTACATACACACACCCCACAGCAGCATCCGAGCCTGAGGGCAACGGATGGGGAGACGAAATCGAAGAGGAGGAGGAGGAAGAGCAGCCAAAACCAAAACCCTCCATCCACCGACCAGCCCCTGCCGGACCCACCTCCATCTCCTCTCTCACCCACTCCAAGCCTGCACCAGCTGCACCTTCCCCGGCTGAGCCTGAGGCAGAGGAGGAGGAGGATGGAGATGGGTGGGGGGACCTGGACGACAATGACGACAATGCTTTGTCCAAGACTGCTGCAGCTGCTGCCGCATCTCTCTCTCGCATCCAGGCAGCTCAGCAACGGCCTGTGGTGCACCATGCTGCTCCCGTGTCTGCCACTCACCATGCTCCTGCCGCTGCTATCCCTGCGCCAGCTGCAGCCACCACCACAAGTGCTGCTGCTCCCACTGCCTCACCTCAAAAGCCAGCAGTGGTTCGGCCGGCGGGAGTGAGACTAGGGGGAGGATCAGCAGCGGGCAAGGCAGGGGGGTCACTGGGTGTGACCCGGGGGAAGCCAGCAGGAGCAGCTGCTGCTTCTGCTGCTGCCTCAAGTTCGATGAGTAAGGACGACGACCCCTGGGCTGCCATTGCCGCTCCTGCGCCTGTCAGCTCGGCCAAGCCTCTCCGTGCCGGCTCTGCCTCGGCGACAGGCTCGGTGACAGCAAGAGGTTCGGCGGCGAGCCGAGGTAGTGGAGGCGGTACGGCGAGTGGGCATGTGAAGCTGCCAGCAGGGGCGGACATGTCTTTAGAGAGTATGCTGGCGGGTGACAGTGGGGTGAAGAAGCCTACTGGGATGAGACTAGGGGCGCAGAAGTTGAGCCGGTAGGTTATGTCACATTAGTTATTACGGTATGACACCTGGTTTATATGTGCTGTGGCATGCTATAGTGTGCACTGTATTACTTCCTACGTGATAAGTGGATGCATACGAGGATTTTAAGGTGAACCCAAGTTCTTTTGTGAGGCGCAGACCAGCTGCAGCCTGCAGCCTGCAGCCACCACTACAAGCACTGCTGCTCCCATTGCCCAGCAGCAGCTTGGCCGCAGGAGTGAGATGGGGGGTCAATGGGTGTGACCGGAGGGAACGAGCAGGGTCAGCTGCTTCTTCTGTTGCCGGCTCAGTTTCCGCTAGTACCTGATGAGACGAAGGTCTATGGGCTGCTATTGCCACTCCTGCTCCTGTCAGCTTGGCCAAGCCTCTCTCCGCGCTGGCTCTGCCTCGGCGACAGGTTGAGCAATTACGAGAGGTTTGGTGGCGAGTCAGGGGGGAGCAGCATCTGGTGGTGGGCATGTGAAAGGCTGCAAGGAGGGGGGAACATGCCTTTGGAGAGTATGCTGGGGGATGACAGGGGGGTCAAGAAGCCTATTGGGATGAAACCAGGGGCACAGAAACTCAGCTTGATACCTAGTTCATTGCTCTGACAAGTTGTAGTGGGCACAGTTGACAGGTAGTACACAAGAGTGCAGATGTGTAAGAGATTGTATGGCGATGTAAGAGGAAGATAATAAAGTGGCTCATATCATTGTTATGCGGTATGACTACTCTGTGGATTAGCAGCCGAACGCTGTTACCGAAACTGCCAAGATAGGGGTCAGTCAGTTCAGGCAACAGCGTAAGACGTTGTCCTACAAGCTAGGGTAGACCGCAGACACTAGAAACATGTCTTCCGCTGCCCCCTCCCCCCCTTCACCTCCCCAGACCCTTTCCCCCATCCGCCTTCCCCCATCTGCCTCCCTCCCGCTTCCCCCCCGACCCTTTCCCCCCAAAAGAACCGGGGAATGCACCGGCCATGGAAATGCGGGTGGATCCACGAAGCTAGGAGGAGTTTACGCCGCGCCTGTCATCCCATGAGCGCCGGCGCATGCAATTCTGTACGGATCCAGCTTCCAACCCATCATCATCTTCTATCCCCGCATCGCGCATAGTTAAGGCCACGAAGCGGCGAGCTTGATCCGCCCAGCCACGAAGATCAGCTCGGGGAACGTGAGCGGAATGACCGGCGGGCGAAAGTTGCCGGGATACCGCTGGTCGCGCATGAAGGCTTTAAGATACTCGACCGGCACCGCGTACAGGCGCAGCCGCCCGCCGAACACGCCTGCGAGCGCCGCGGCCTCGGAAAACGCGACGGCCTGGCGGTTGGTGTCGAAGCTCAGCTCCGGGTTGAGCACGTGCGACGACCACCAGCGGTGCTTGCGGAAGCGCCCGAGCTCGCGCATCGTGAGGAATTTCTTGGTCGCGGAGAAGCTCAGCATCTGGTTGAAGAGCGTCTCGTTAACGAGGTAGTTGTTACCGAGGTAAAAGTCGTCGCGGACCAGCGACACGTCGTGCTCGATCTTGTTGTGCGCGCGGAGCTGCACGAGATCGATCGTCTGCGCGGCTTTGTCCCCCACGCCTTGCGCGAAGGCGGAGTTGAGGATGGTATTGGTGAGCGACGGGGAGAAGGAGTAGAACTTGCGGAACGCGTTCACGATACGCTTGCGCGGAATGGCGGAGCCGTCGCGCGGAAACACGCCGTGGTTCGCCATCGTGTTGAAGCCCGGGCACGGGCCGCGGTTGTCCGTAGCGCCCGGCGGGATGTACGGGCCGAGCTTTAAGGTGGCGCTCGCCGACGGCGCCAGCAGGGCGAGCGTTCCTAGGAGAGTAATTAGGACGAGAGAGAAGGGGAGAATTAGAGGCTCTAGTCTGGCAGAGCCTCGCTGAGAGAGGCGGAGAATGCGGGGAGCCATGGTGGCGGAGAGCTTGTTTCTTGATTGAGTATTCTATGATAGATCTGCTTTTCTGTTCTCAGCTGTCTGCTGCTGCAACTTATCAACGTACAATGCTGCTTGCCACGGAGGGAAAATGAAAGAGCTGTTTCTCCCCGCCCAAGTCCCCAACGTAACTGGTGAAAAAAAGAGGGGAGATGGGTCTGGTCCGGCCTGGTCCAGTTCGGTCGAAATTAATTGGGAGGTTCTGCCTGCCCGCCACGGGTAGCCTGGCTAGGGGACGGTTCGTAGGGGCGGGCTGGAGAGAGGGGAGGGAAGGGGCCGGACAGGAAGGGTGGGGGCTGGAAGGAAGGAGGCTGGAAGCAGCTGCTGTACTACAGATGGCGTTGGTTCGGTTGGGATGGATTGGAGTGGTGTTGGCGCTACCAAAGAAACCCGAGGGTAGCCGTAAGGCGGACGGGAGAACACGGACGGACCGCATGGCAGCTGTGGGAGATGGGGGGGCGGGGGGGGGGGGGGGGTGGAAGAACGCGCAACATGAGAAAGGGGGGGGGGTGTGTTGGGGAGGGGGGTGGAGGAGGGGGGTGCGGCTGCTGCTGCTGCACCTGTGTGGCTGCAGCGCAGCACCTCTCACTCACTGTGCCGTCCGCGCCGTGCCCGATTCACTTCGTTTCTTCCCTCCTTCCGCTGCTTCACTTTCGTTTTCGTCAGGTGGAGCCAAGCCAACACGACGACCACACTCCGACCACGCGCGCTGGAACTCTGCCGGTTCGGGCTGAGAGACGTGGCCGTCTGACGGGTCGCCTTTGGGACACGTGGAATAAATCGAACGGATGATTTCGCGCCCCGGAAACTCCCAAGCTGGAGTACACGCTCGGCGATAGCTCAGGCCAGGACCAAACCTTCGATAGCCGAACCACAACCTGTTGCTCACTGAACGTTTGACTGCCACGTAACTTCGCCTCCTACGATGACCGCTTTTCTTCCAACCTGCAATCCATCTGTCGGCAGCGCACCACCGAAATGCCTACGACGAAACGCGCACTGTCGGCGTACTGTGGAACAACTCAGTATTGACAGTTTCGGTATGCACCCAGTGATCAGTAGGCCATGTTGTGCAGAAGGTAGTCGAATCCTCCTCTGCTTACACAATAACATGGATTTATCAACTTTTGGGGAAACGTGGCATGCCCGCTTGCCTCATCGCTAATGTGTCGTGGCTTATCTGGCACACGTATCCACACGTCAGCTATGACAAGATTCCTTCACAGCACACCGAGGGTTTTTCTTCGGCTTGCCTGCAGTGATTTCTGGTCCGTTCAATTGTGGCCTGGGGATGCAGCGCTGAACAAAATGGAGTGCAGCCCGCACATCTGGAGCACACGCGATTTCCGAGGGATAAACCAAAGCCGTCGATCGTGATCACATGTGACTCTCAGTGCCACTCTCAAGCCATACCAGCCATAGGATTGGCCGAGGGTTTCCTATTTTCCGTCGCCACACCTGGATCTCCATGCTGGCGATGCGATCAACCGGCGAGGGTTTACAACAAAACCTTAGCAATGCTTGTGATGACGACAGCATCAACGATCAGTAAATATCATCCGTCAAAATGTTTCTAGCACCACAGTCAACGGTTCTTATGTCATGAGGTTTGTCCAGAGGAATCCAACTGCACTGCCCGCTCCCCGCTTCCCCAAAAGTTCATGGTCTGGAAAAGCTTTCGGTCAGGCAATGGTTGAGTGGTTGGTAGCGGGCGGGCCAGCAGACACGGGAGCATGGGCCCAGCTGACGCTGGCAACGGCCCACAGCTGAGTCATCGCATCACCAGCATCTCCTGTCAGACCCACTCGCTTGAATGTCAAAACGGAACACCAGAAACAAACTCAGAACCCGAGGAAACGGAGAACCCGAGGCTGACAGAAATTGTGAGCCGCCTGGTCGACTCTGGTCATAGTCCTCAGTCCAACGACTTGGTCAGTTAGTCATTAGTCTCACTCTCTGATCTGATTTCAACAAACTACGTGTCGTTTACTTCGGCTGATCGAGTTTTTTTTTCCTCGGCAAGCTAGTAGCAGATTCCATCGTGCCAAACGTGGAAGAGGTTTGACGAGTTTTGATCACTTCATCGTGTTGTAGCAGGGTAGTCAGTCGCATCTCGTGGATCATTACGGTTCTGATATTAACCTAGAACATTCTCATTGTTGCCGTCTTTACACTACCATCATCGTTTCTTGTGAAAGCAAACTTCTAGGTTTCTTACTTCTCCATTCGTGGCTGTCTATTTCGCGCATAGTATCGCATTCGCTACCATGGAGAGGGTTTTCTCGGTAGACGACATTCTAGGAACCTTCTGGAAGGTCGAATCGTCAGGCGATGTCGCTGCTGCTGCAGCCGCCGCCGCCGCAGCAGCGGCTGCCTCCGGCGGGCTTCTCCCTCCAGGCGCGTCCGCCTTCCCCGGCGGATATTCCGGCGGAATTTCCGGCGGTCTGGGGAGCAGCGAGCTACAGCGCCCAATCCCACGGACCGGATCTTTCCATCGTATGAATCGAATATCCTCGGAGTGGGCGTTTCAGGAGTTTATAAAGGAGCAGACTGCAGCGGGGACAATGACAGGTTACAATGGAGTGAGCCCACTAATGGCCGGTCTTAGCCACGTTCCGAGTCTAGATAAACTCCTCGGAGAGAGCCCGTCTAGGCTTAACTTAAGTATGTTCGGCCGACCGGGAGCAGAAGGCGAAGCAGGGATCTCCGCCGCCGCCGCCGCCGCAGGAGGCGCGGCAGCGGCCGACAGTCTCGCCGCATTGGGGGGTAGCAAGCAGAGTCGATTGGATCTGGCGGGGGGAGATCCGCGGCTGGGATTGTCCGCGCCAAGGCGGGCAGCGGGGGAAGAAGTGGAGGCGGGGGGAACCGGGGCCACTGCGGGAGCGGCGGGGGATGGGGGGAGTTTCGGTGGAGTGGGGGTGTTCCGCTCCCCGTCGATCAAGGGATTGGCGTCAGGCGCGTCAGCGGATGCAGCAGCGGCAGCAGCAGCGGCAGCGGCAGCGGCAGCCGGGCAGGTATGAGTGGTTTCAGATAGGTATGAGTGGTTTCAGTTAGGTATGAGTGGTTTCTGTTATGTATGAGTGGTTTCAGATAGGGTTGAGTGGTTTCAGATAGGGTTGAGTGGTTTCAGATAGGTATGAGTGGTCTCAGATAGGTATGAGTGGTTTCAGATAGGTATGAGTGGTTTCAGATAACACCTTGTCCATCTCTTCCCGGTTTAAGCCTCGCAGCTCTTCACGGTGACCTGTTAGTTCTATCTCCTTCTGTTGTGCCCATACCCCCTCCCCATCCTTCCCCCGCTCCTCCTTTCTTCTCCCCTCCCCTTCCTCCCCCCCTTCCCCCCCCACACCCTCCTGCTCTCCCCGTTTCGTCGCGGCCAGAAATCGTCTCCGTCGATCCCTGTGTCCGTAGCCTCGACCGTGCAATTCCCTCCTCCCCCCTCCCCCCTTCTCCCTTCCTTTCTCTCTGCGCTTCCCCTCCCGCTCCCGTTCCCTCGCTCCGCATTGAAACCATCCCCACCTCCCCCTCTATCCCCCCTCCCCCCGCCCTCCCCTCCCTCTCAGGCGCCGACTGTTGACGCAGCAGCTGCCGTGAACGGCGCCTCCGCCGCAAGTGCCGCAGCAGCCGCAACCAACGGCGTGCCGACAAGTGGCACTCCCGCCTCCGCGAACGGCGCGCCTCTCTCTCCGCCTCCCCCCCCGTCCGTGGTGCACCCGACCCCCGAGGAAATGGGACGCCTCTGCGCCCCTCCAGGCTCCGCGGAAGCCGCCAGCCCGACCTCCAGCAGGCAGCCGGGCGGGGGAGAAAAGGGGGGAACTGGCGGAAAGAGCGGAGGGAAGAGGGGTCTGGGGGGAGCCTCGAGCGGGAGGGGGGGAGGCGGAGGGGGGACAAGGGCGGGCGCGCAGAGTGGAGGGGGGAGGGAGAATGGGGGCGGGTCGGATGAGAATCACTCTGACGATGGGGGGCGGTCGGAAGGGGAGGATGAGCTGGTGGCGTCGTTGGAGCACCTGACGGACCCTGAGGAGATCAAGCGCGTCAAGAGGTAATAGAACACCACATAGGTGCCATTGTGTCAATACGTGGCAGCAACTTAGTTGATGACACCTGACGGACCCTGAGGAGATCAAGCGCGTTAAGAGGTAAGCAGAAAAGTCGAGATAAGTTGGGGCGAGATCAAGCAGTCGAGGTTTGAGGTGAGAATTATTATAAGTTGCGGCGAGATCAAGCGGTCGAGTTATGAGGTGTGAATTATTATAAGTTGCGGCGTGTTAGGTTACTATGGGACAAGTAAGGAGGCTATAAGAGAAGTCATACATGCGTATTAGCTGCTGGTCCTAAGAAGGTGATAGCTGATCCTACTTTTTCTGCATGCCACGTTTCTGATCCTCCTCGTTTCTAAGCGCCTCCCGAGTTCCCCTACCTATCTTCGTGGCAGGATGCTGTCCAACCGCGAGTCGGCACGGCGCTCCCGGCGCAGAAAGCAGGCGCATATGGGGGAGCTCGAGACGCAGGTGACTCAGCTGCAGATCGAGAACGCCAACCTGGCGAGCCGCCTCGGGGAGATCGGGAGGAAATACAGCGATGCAGCAGTGGACAACCGGGTGCTGAAATCTGACGTGGAGGCTTTAAGAGCCAAAGTGAAAATGGCCGAGGAGATGGTTGGGAGGGTCAGTCACATGGCACAATATATGTACCACCAGCACCACCAGCCTATGGCGTATCGGCATGATCCTGCTGCTGCTGCTGCTGCTGCTGCAGCCGCTGCTGCTGCTGCGGCTGCTGGTTCGCTTCCCTACGGGCCGTCTGCTGCTGAGATTGCTTACTATCAGCACCACGCTCACAACTCCTCTGCTGCAGCAGCGGCGGCAGCAGCTGCGGCGGCGGCTGCTGCTGCAGCTAGCGCTGGTGCCAGTGTTGCTGCTGCAGATGCTGCTGGTTCTGCTCCTGCTACTGGTGCTGGGACAGCTGCAGCAGCCGCTGCCGCCGCCGCTGCAGCTCAATCACACTCATCACTGCACTCCCTCCAGTCATACGCCTCGCATCAGCACGCTGCTGCTCTATCTGCCACGGCACATGGGGCGTATTCCCTAGAGGCTCTGCGTGCCGGCGGAATGCATCTCCCTGGCGCCGGTATTTCCCCTCATAACTATGCAGCGGCTGCTGCGGCGGCGGCAGCTGCAGCAGCAGCTGGGGGCGGGGTACACCCGAGCCTGGCTGCCATGCATGGAATGCGTGGGGCGGCAGCAGGAATGGCCAGTCTTGGGGCTGGTTCGGGGATGGCAGACCCAGCCGCTGCTGCTGCAGCAGCAGCAGCAGCTGCTGGAGGGGGGGGAGAGGGGGGAGCAGCAGGAGGGATGGGGGGAGAGGAGGCTGGGGGAGGGCTTGTGAGATTGGAGAGGAGTGCAAGCATGGAGAGGGCAGCAAGTGATGAGCATGCACAGAAGAGGTACAAAGCAGGAGAATGAGGTAGACTATATTTTGACGAAGTATAGGATGTGTTTTTGTTTGTTTGGCTTGAGGAGGTTTACAGCCATCAAAGTGTGGCTGGTGATTTGTTTTTTCTCGAGCTTTCGTTATTGATGATAGTCAAGGCTCTTGACACAGTCATGTTTAGGTTATCACAACTCCTAGTCGCAATGCTGTGAACCCTGATTACAAATGTTTGATGCTTCAGAGCATTATTGTGCATCAAAATAAATATGAAGCGCATCGTTGTTTAAGAGCATCTAGAAGTGTTACACAAATTGATCTCAACTATTCACATCGGGTCCGAAGAATCCTTACTACTCCTTGGGAATTTGCCGCACCAAGCAAGTCACCCTCCGCGCGCTGCTGCCAGCCAACAGCGCTCACGAAGCTATTCCCCCCACCACCTCCGCCTCCGCTTCCGCTTCCCCCCATCTGCCCCCCGCTGCTGCTCTCTCTTCCAGTCATACCAGGCGTAGGGCTCCAAGACCGTCCACTAGGGTTCGAGGAACGACTACTATTGCCGTGGTTGCCGGGCGGCTTAGCGAAACCGAAGTCGAACTTGAGAGCGCAACTGCAGCGGGACTGGGAGTCCACGTGGTAGATCACCAGGTCGTTAGTTTCCGAACCCGTGGCGATGAGCCCGCCTCCCGAACCTCCTGCCGAACCTGAAGCCGCCTTGCCACATCTATTGCCGCCATTGCAGAGGCTGGAACCACCGTCTAGCTCTGTGACAGACAACCCGACGAAGTTCCGCACGTTAACATGGTCGTTGCAGCTCGCACGCAGGCGAGTCGAGTCTCCTGCGGCTTGGAGATTAAGCCGGCTGGTCGGACTGCCACTAGCTTGGGCCTGAGAAGCAGCACTGACGCTAGCCTTAGGTATCCGGCCAGGGGAGGCCGTTGCTGCAGAAACGCCGTCGCTGGGATTCGAACCCGTGACGTCCCACAGCTTGACGGTAGAATCGACGGATGAGGAAACCAGGGAGCCTGGGCCCATGAACCGCACGAAGCTCACGGTTCGCTGGTGCCCTGCGAGCGACAGAAGCGGCTCCTCGAGATTCCGAAGGTCGTATAAGTACACTTTCGAATCCGCTCCAGCCAGTGCGAGGAGATTCTCGCCGCCTCTGGCCGGACCGAATTTCGCACTGCAGATCGCGCGATTTCCGGAAGCCAATCGGATCTTCGCCACGCTGTCTTCTGAGTCAGCCGACCAGAGACAGACTGCTCCGTTGTCCGAAGCTGAAACGGACATCGGTTTGCCGTTGGATCCCATCCACTGCGAGTAATCGACGGACCAGATGCGCTGTCCCTCGTGCTCCTCCCGTTCTGTCACGCAGAGCCCCTTCTCGATGTCCCACTCCGCGAACACCCCGTCATAGTCACCCGCGCCTACAGTGCCGCTGGATCCGGGTACCCACATCACGGAACTTAATTTCGCAGCGCAGCAGAGAATCTTGGACGCTGACTGGTCCGTGTCGAGCACGCACGCTGCCGCCTCCTCGTCGTCGCCTCTTTCCGAAGCTTCGGCGTACCATCGGAGATCGCTCGTCGACGCAGCCCGTCGCTTTCCTCGTCGCGACCCGGCGTAGGATAATCCGGAGTTGAAAAACTCCGAGTCGACCGATGAATCAGCCGCTGTTTCCACCGCAACTGTCGCTGGCAGGCCAGAGACGATGTCGCAGCTCCGCCTCGCGCCTCTTTCCCGCCACTCCTCCAGCTTCCGTTCCTTAAGCGAGTAGAGCGACGAAAGCGAATACACGCGAATCTTTCGCGAGATGCCACCGGTGGCGAAATAGTTACCCGAGTCGTCGAAATCGATGGAGCCAATCACGTCAGAGCATCCCCAGAGGCGGCCCCTCGTGCACTGAAGGGTCAGATCAACGTCCAGCCTCCATGATTGGCAATCCGCGCCGCACTCCATTCCGCCGTCGTAGAACGAAAAAACAGAATCACCCTGAGCCGCTTCAGCCCCGTTTTCTGATTTTCCATCCGCGGATTCTGCTTCCAACCGCCACATCTGCCGCTGCTCGGAGTCCGACCCGCACGAATTGTACTCCGCGGCTTCTTCCTCCTCAGGAGACTCCTCGCAGTCACAGCAAGCGGATCCCGTGGTTACCGTGTCAGGGTTTCTGTACAAGCACTGTCGCTCGCTTATAGCGGGGGACACGAGCATTCGCGAGCATCTCGCTGGGGATCCAGAAGCGGCGGCGGCGGGCTGCGGCTTTAGTAGGTGCGACAAGGACGGTTGCGATACGAGGCAGTCTTCGTCGATGGACGGAACGGATCGATCGCCGCCATCGCCAGGTATACCCGCTACAAGTGGCAGTCTCGTTAGAAGCAGCGACCCCCCCGCCGCGACTGAGTCGACAAGATCTTCCTCCGGGCCTGGTTTGAACTTCTTAGAGGGAATCACCCAACCAATAGGAGAGAAGATCTCGTCGTCTTTCTCAGGATACGCGGAGGCAGGATCTGCTGGCGATAACGTCGCGCCGCCGTTTTCTGACGGAGCTTGGACCTGAGGCACTATTTGCTGCGCCTCAGTCGGGGCTGGTTTGTCGCGGACGGTGAACGGGCCCGCGGAGCGGAAGGAGAGGTCCAGAAAGGTGCTGGGCGGTTCCACAGCTAAGTCATAGCACACTGCTCCCGGCGCTCGTCTGGTCGGGTTGCGTCCTGCGATGCTCGCCAACATCTTTGTGCACTACGAGCAGAAAATTAATCACGAACAAGTGGGACGATGTAGACTCAGTCTGTGGGGGGTTAACTAAGGGTCAGATGTGTTCATGAAATGAGAACTTCTTGGTAGGAACGGCACAAAGAGAGACACTGCTACCCCCTGACTTGGAGCTCTCCCTGCTGGTTTTTACGTGTGAGTCGGTTCGGCAGATGATGGCTCTACCGAGAAACTACGAGAGAGTTGTCTGTTCACTCTTAACCACCTAGCTTTTCATCACTTCCGTAAATGAGTGAAGCAGCATCAGCAGATTGTATGGCTTGGCTTGGCTCGGCAGAGGGGACGGAAGGATGGAAGGCCCGGCTTTCCGCGTGCTGCATGATTTCCCCAGGGCTACTGTCTGTTGTGGTTTGCTGCCTTGCTTCCACGTCTCCCTCCCTCCGTCGCTGCCTGCATAGGTCTCTTCATGATCCGCACGCTGCCGTGGCTCGGTCAAACGAGCGGAAGAACGGTTTTCCAGAACGCCACGCCAGCCCCATCAGCCTGGTTCCACTTCCACTGAGCAAGAAGCTGGGGGAAATGTCTACAGTTCTTCCTCAGCCTTGGTTTTGGGGATGGGAGGGAAGGGCAGGGAAGGCAAGACAGGCTGGCGAGATCGGTATCCGACAGATGCACAGTACTTCCAGGCTGTGGAAAGGAAAAGATCTGGGACTTCCTGACGACAGCCAATAAAAACTATGATAAAGATGGCTTCACGACGTGGAAAGATGTCAACTTCAAGAATGTGCTGTGTGCGAGTGGTCGAGAGAATCCTGCAATACAACCAAGCTGCTGCTCTGTCATGGGGCACGAAGATTTTTTATCACGAACCAGGGTGAAATCGTTGCTCGTTCAGTGCTATTGTTTCTTCCCAGTCATCCGCCCTCAATAGAAAAACAAATGTCCATTACAGTACTTATTCAACCGCTCGGGTCTGCCCGTCGCGAAATGCAACGTGAGAAAACACCATATTTTAGTATGCGATTCTTCCCAGGGTGTGTGTTCCAGAATCATCCGCAAGACCGCCCTGCAGCTGGATGGAAAAATGCTCCCTTGTGAATGGACAACCCCATTCCAGCCCAGCGGAAAAAAATTCTCGCGATATCCCGCCATTTAAGGCGTGTTTTTAGTAGGTGTCATCTCGAAAAAAAGTGGTATCGTACTACATTACTGGTGTACTAAGTCCTACTGGATGACGTTTGGCAATCGCCCAAGAATCCCCAATCGTGACTCCTAATCAAACGAGTAGCCCGAGACGAGGCGAGTGTCAGACTCGAGGTCAACCTGCGGCCGAAGGAGCCACGGGCTGTCACAACCTAACTGCGGGTTATATATTCTTGACGGTGCAGCGGCTGCACAGTCTCGATCTGTCGCAAGGGAAGGGTTGCGACGACTTGGCGCTCTACCTACCGAGCTTTTCATTTGCACGACATTGATAGTCGTTCTGTTTGACAGCTGACTGGCTGGAGCTGTCAGTTACTCGCAAGACCCGAGGAAATCTTTTTCCAGCCTCGGATCTTCCCGCTAAACCCTTGCTGCAGAATCCCCCCTTACTGGGAAAGGGCAGCTGAGTGGAAATGGAACAACAGTGATGTGCATCCCCTTGAACAACAGAGAAACGCGGAAATTCCAACGAATCGATTTGCAGCGACAGATTTCAATCGTATCCATCTGATTCACCGAGCTGCCCCTCAAACAGTACGACGAATCGTTGTTTCCTCGTTAACAGCGCAGCGGGGAACAGAACTGCACAAGTTAAATTTGGTTTGAAAGGTAAGCAGGGTGATAATGAGTGATAACGACCATCCTAAGAACAACAATATACAAAAACAAAACAGGGTGTTTCACTAGCAAGAAGTTCAAAACGACTTTCTGATGTTTCTCAGGAGCGGTTTTTTTTTTTGGGTTGCGTAGCAACCCTATAAAATCGGTTTCACATTTCGGAGCATTAATATGAACAGTAAATTTTAAGAATTTAGTTAACTGTTCGATGCAACTCCAAAATATGAATCCGAAATGTCCAAAGTGCTCCATCGCGTCGATAAGTACGGCGGATGGAACAATCAGACCGCATGACACATTTCAACAAATTATGTATAATTAAACATTCTGTAGGATTGCAAATGACAGGAAACGAGTGCATATAGGTGTTAACGTAGAAACGAATGATTACTAGAGGTGGAAACCTAGAACAAATACTAGTTGGTTGTACTCACTAGAAGCATACCTCAGTCTAGCCTATAACTTCTACATAGATAATATGTATAAGTTGACACACCCCCTAGGCTAGACAAGGGGTGAAACTAAACAAGAAGCAAACAGCTCAGGGCGGCACTACTAGTCCAACCACTGAGGCAGGGGTCTGGAGACCAGTCAGCAAGAATACAACCAAAACTGAAGCAAGCCAGGGTGGCACTACTAGTCCAGCCACTGGAGGTAAGGCCACAAGGCCAGTCTGACAAGCATATATAATAGAGAGTACACAATCAGGATCCTAACAGGGGAGCAGCTATAGGAACAAGACCAAGCTGTACACAGTGCCGCTGATGATCTTTAGGCGCAAGCGCCTTAGTAAAGATATCAGCTGTGTTGGCACCTGAGGCCAAGTGAACTACGCGGGCCTGGCGGCGCTGCTGTAGCTCGCGCAGGAGGAAGTACCGCAGCTGGATATGCTTCGCTCTGCCCTCAAGCCGAGGCTCCTGACACAGGAGTATCATGGCCCTGTTGTCAGCGTACAGGACCGGGGCAGAGCTAGGCCGCTCACCTAAGTCTGTGAGCAAGAAGGTCAGCCAGCGGAGCTCCTGTGCCGCCATGGCACCAGCGTAGATCTCAGCCTCACAGCTAGACTGAGCCACAGACGACGAGCGAGTGGATCTCCAAGAGATAGCACCCGAACCAAGGCTGAAACAGTAGCCCTGCGACGACCTGAGCGTCTCAGCATCGTCTGCCCAAGAAGCGTCTGTGTGCCCAGTAAGGACCACTGGCCTGCGTCCTCCTAGCACTAACCCCATGCCTGATGTACTAGCAAGATAACGCAAAACCCTCTTAGCGGCAGACCAGTGCTGAGGTCGGTGTCTGCCTGTAGCCACAAAGCGAGCCAGGATGCTGAGAGGGTATGCGAGATCTGGGCGAGTGCAAGTCATCAGGTACATGAGGCAACCCACCAGCTCTGCGTAGGGGCCACTGGGCTCTACTGGCTCCTCAGGAACGGGAGCAGAGAGCCCATGGTCTACGGGTAGAGGTGTGGGCTGTGCGGAGGAGAACTGAAGACCGAACCTCTGAAGGACCTGACGCACCAAGTGTGACTGGGTCAGAGTGATGGTGCGTGCTGCTCTGTCCCTAGAGATCTGCAGGCCAAGATAGCGACGCAGCTCTCCAAGGTCAGTGCAGGTGTGTCTCTTCAGCAGCTCAGCCTTCACAGAGGCCAGTGCGTCCCTGTCAGGAGTAGCGAAGACCAGGTCGTCTACGTAGACAAGGATGTAGAACGGAGTCTGGCCGGAACGCACAAATAGTGAAGGGTCAGCAGAGGACGGAAAGAACTGCAGGTCTGCTAACGTGGAACGTAGCGTGTCGTGCCACTCGCGGGGAGCCTGACGCAGGCCGTAGACCGGGCGCCTGAGAAGCCACTGGGTCCCAGGAGGGAAGGTACCAGTGAAGCCCTGTGGTCGGCGCAGGTAGACCTGCTCGTGTAGGCTGCCCTGAAGAAAGGCAGTAGAGAAGTCGAGAGAGTGAAGCTCGTAGTCACGCTGTGCTGCTACGTGTAGCAGCGCCCGAAGAGTGGTCATCTTCGGGGTCGGGGCGAAGGTCTGGAAGAAGTCAACCCCCTCGCGCTGACTGAAACCTCTGGCCACGTAGCGCGCCTTGAACACAGGCGGCTCTCCAGGGGGGCGCTTCACCTTGAAGAGCCACCGACCATCGACTACGTTCACCCCAGGCGGGGGAACTGCGTCGACGTAAGTGCCGGTGGATCTCCAAGATGCCATCTCCTGCTCCATGGCAGCTATCCACTGAGAGGCCCAAGGTCCCGAGGTGGCCTCAGCGTAGGTGCGAGGGGTCGGGATGTCGAAGGCGTCTGGGTCACCCTCAGGGACTAACAGCATGGAGCAGAGATGGGGAGCAGCCTCGGAAAGGAAAGCCAGCTCGTACTGCCTGTCCTCTAGGACGTCACTGCCAAGGGCAGGAGCACCCCCGACGGACAGAGGACGGGCAGGGTCAGAGACCAGAGCGGTAGCGTAGTCAAGGCGGCGGGTAGAAGCGAAGTCAGCGACAGCAGCGACAAGCGCGTCAAGGCGCGAGACAGGAACAGCAGGGTCGGTAACAAGAGAGGCAAGGACCCGAGGGACAAGGGGACGAGCAGCACGGAGGTAGTCAGAGAACGGAGGAGGTGCAACAGCAAGGGACGAGGGAGGAGGGGACGGGAGGAGGGGAGGACGAGACGAGTGGGAACGGAGCAACATAGGGTGGGTGGGCAGGACAGGAGAGACGGGACGAGCACGGGAGGGACGGCGAGCCCAAACGTGAGACGGAGGGGTAGGGTCAGGGGACAGCGGAGGAGACACAGGAGGGGAACGAGGAGGAAGACGGGCCGGAGACGAGTCTGGCGGCGGGAACACAGGACCGTAGACAGGGAGGTCAGGAGGCGGTGGGGGAGACACCGGCGCGCGGTCCAGGGAGGGAAGGCCGAGCAGGCGGAGAGCGGAAACCGGCGGCGACGGCTGCTGTGGCGGCGACGACGGCTGGGCCGGAACTCTCGGACCAGCAGAGGCAGAACGACCGTCGGCAGAACACTCAACAGCAGCACCCCCAGAACCAACACCCCAAGAGCGAGAACCCCCTCCAACACCAGCGGCACCCCCAGAAGCCGCAGGACGAACACCCTCCTCCACACCAGCACCCCCAGAGGCCGAGAGCAGCGGCGGCAGTGGCGGCGACAGCGGCGACGGCTGCGGCGGCGACGGCGACGGCGGCGGCAGCGGGGTCGGCGACTGCGACAGTGGGGGCGGAGGCACTGGGGAAGGGGGACGCGGCAAGGACGGACCGGGGGTACCACCAGAGTCAGCAGACTCCTCAACGACGACAACCGACGGGAGGGGAGTGACGTGGGAGACACCAGACGGGGCAGGACGAGGCGGGAGAGGGGCAGGGGCTACCGGGGGAGAGGGAGCAAGGAAAAGGGGGGGGGCAACTGGGAGACCTCGGTGAGGGAAGCGGCGGTAGAAGGAGACGGACTCGTCAAAGGTGACGTCACGAGAGTGGAGGAAGCGGTGAGACGGCGGGTGGTAGAAAAGCCAGTCAGACGAGTCCAGGGGGAAACCGAGGAAGACACAGGGGACAGTGCGGGCAGTGAGCTTGTCCGTGCCAGAGGCACGAACGTGAGCAAGGCAGCCCCAGACGTGGAACGCAGACGCGTCACCGGGGGACCCGGTCCAAAGGA